TTTATTTTAGTTATTTTTAATGTAATTTACTTTAATTTTATTAAATTTTGTAGTATTTATTTATTAATTTATTTATTTATGTATGTATTTATTTTTTATTATATAGTATTCAGTGATTGCTTTGTCTTTGTTTTAATGGTTCCCAAAGTTATTTTTTATTATTATATTATATTTTTTAAATTTTATTTTATTTTAGATTATTTTATTTTTATTTTATTATTCTATTTTTAATTTAATTTAATTTTATTTTATTTTTTTTATTTTTTTTTAATATAACTTTTTTTTGTTTTGTTTTTTGTTGTTGTTTTTTATTTTATTATTGCAGTCTTTTATTATATAATATTCATTGATTGCCGTTGTTGTTTATTTTAGTGGTTCCCAAAGTGGAGACAAGTGCAGATCGGAGGTGGTTATCAATTGGTGTTTTCCAAAAATCAAATAAATTTTTTTTAACTATTAAAATGACCATATTTTTTCCATAAGCCACAGAGGATAAAAAATAGTAATTGATTGTTACATTAAAAGTTTGCATGCAAGATTTGTATAATTATAACCACCTCTGAGGATAGTGGGGATCACGAGTAACTGGCATTGTTATGTTGGGTGTCACAGGCTAAAAAGTTTGGAAACCCCTGGGTTATTTTAGCATTAAATACATTCGTTCTTTGGCGTCTCATAAATCAGATGTGCTGCCCCGCAGAAGCAGATGGTAAAGAGATGTTTGTGTACCTTTTTCATTGATTATAAATGTGGTTATACTTTAAAAGATTAATAAAGTAGAGCATTATATCTGGGCATCTCTCCAGAAGCTTTTTGTAGATGAGAGCAGCATCAATTAAATGTTTTCCAGTAAAGTATCTGAAATTGTGGCGTTTTTCCACAACACTTAGGGATGACCTGAAAAAATTCTAAATCTACTTATAATTTAAAGCCACATTTATATCAGACAGTAAGATGAATTTATGAAATAAATAAAATGATACATAAGCCATAATTATTGAGGCAAAGTAAAAAATGGCAAAAATAAAAATTAAAGTAGAAAAATAAATAAAAATAAACAATAAAGAAATGAAATAAAAGGTTATGAAAATAAAAGTAAAATTAATGGTACAAAAATATTAATGAATAAAATTAATAAAAAAAAATTAAAATGAATTAATACAATTAATTAAAGTCATAATTATGAGGGAAAATAGAACTTATGAAAAAAGAATTATTATAAAATTGCATTTGGCATAAATCTCATTTTTAAAAAGTATTCATAACTATACATTAAAAGTCTTAACTATAAGGAAAAGATGATATTATATAGTAAAAAGTTTACATTTTAGTTTTATATAAATAAAGATAATTAAATCAATTAGAAAATTTGAAAAATTGATCAATTATAAGAAATGAAAAAGTCAGAATTATGATGGAGACAATTGAAATTGTTAAAATGTATTGTATTTTATTTATACTTGTCAGTTTTATTAATGCTATTATTTTATTTCAGTCAGATTTTAGTTGGATTTATTTATTGTCACAATTAATACAAACTATGTTTGTTTCACCAAAATATGTTTTTCTTTTGACTGCAATAGAACCTTTTCACATTTTCGGGTTTCTCAATAGCGGAAGTCGTCATAGAGGTTGGGAAAACTTAGAGTGCAGTGTTTGGGAGAACACAACAAATATTTTTTTTTTACTATCTTATTGGCTCAAATAATAAAAGAAAAACAACAATGATTTTATAAAGGCGTTCAAAAAAAAGGGAAAAAATGTGTGAGACTCATAACAGGAGACTGAGGAGAGAATAATGTCAAATTTACTCTCAGCCCCATAGACACTGCATTACAGACGCCTCGCACAAGCAGTAATTTGTTTTTGTCTTTTTTTTTGTAATTGGAAGCAAAGACAATATAGAATAAATATAAATGTTCATGCGTTTTTGTTTTTTTAAATCAAAATATTTAAAACTTTCAAGGATTTGAGATGCTGATGACCATTAAATGGGTCATAACAGGATTGTGAAAAGGGTCCATTAATTTCAGGCTGATTTATGCGAAATGCAAATGTAATGGTGCTCAGTTATTTGCCTACTTTTTTTAATTCAGCAAACGTATGCATGAATTTGTACTCTTCAGTGTACAGTGTGAACATTTCTCCTCTGCCTCTGTCAGCTTGAGCACTGAAATTTAATGAGAAGAACGTTGAGTTACGGATATTACAGTCTGTACCAACAGCAACATTTTCACTCAGGGTTTAGAGCAAAATATTAATAAATGTCAGATTATTCTCTCAGTCCAGGGGTTTGCATCATATCTGTCAAACAATGGTGTTACATTTTAAAGTGTCATTGCATCCAACTTGTTTTGTTTAATAAAAGCTCTGATTGTTATGATGCACAGACAGTTTTCTTGCTGCAGGAGATTCATTTACAATTATTTTAAAGCCGGCTCATTGCTGAGTCCAAGTTAGGGCTGTTTAGCCCAAATAATATTGGAAAAACTTGATATTGTGATGTTTTTTCTTTGTTTGTTTATCTGTGCTATATATATTGTGATATGAATACAGTTTTTACCTGATGGTTTGAATAGCTCACCACTTTACAATTTTCTGTAGAATCCTGCAAGGTTTAGCTCCAACTTCCTTTAACACACCTGCCTGAAAGTTTTTACTACATCTAGAATGGCTTGATTAGCTGATTAAGGTGTGTTCAATTGGGGTTGGAACTACAGTAGGCAGGACACCAGCTCTCCAGGTCCGATTTTGGACACCCCTGTCTTAAATGATCTGAGAAATGGGCCTGGGCACGGTTTAGATAGCATAGTGTGAGTATACCCTAAGACAAAGAAACAAATGTGTACCATTGCGGTTTGTACCTTTAAGGTTATGATTTGTACCACGGGGAACCAAAATTTACCTTTGGTTTTTAAATACATACAATATTGTACCTTTATCAAAGTCACAAATCTGATCTATAAAGGTTCCGCCACAGTAATAAGACACTTTGTATCTTAACAGTGACAAAAATTTTTGCCAAACATTTATTTAAAATGCCTTAACTGTTTAGTCTACAATATCAATAGTTTTTTTGTTTTACCAGTTGTTTTGTATTATAAAACTTAATAATTAATGTTCATGAGTTTCTTTAAAAATATAGTTTTAAATGATGATTCTTATTTTAATATGGGAATTATTCATAAATCACTTTGCCTCTTTTCAGCAATATTTATTGTCATAGGTATTGTAATAAAAGAGTTGTTTAACACTTTTGTACCTTTTATATGAGAACAATGTGTACCTTCATTTCAGTTGTACTATAAAAGGCACAGAACAGTATCATAAGAGGTCTTTTTTGTACCATATAAGGGACAACTTTTTACAAAGGTACAATACTGTTCCTCAAGGAACATTATTTGTACCACCGTGTACCATTTTTCCCTGAGAGTGTACAAGACCCACAGTGTAAAAATGATGGGTCCCACACAATCAATCGGACATCATGAAGGAATTAAGTTAGCTTATTAGTTTTTACAAACATAAATGGATTGAACATAAAACAATTCAGTTGTCCCAACGAAATCTCAAAAATGTTGTTTCAACTCATTTTAAATAGGAATATCATTTTTGAAAGCAGTTCGCAAAAGTCTTGTGAACAAATATTCTGTGTTTTTCACTGAGCTATTTCAGTGACATCAAAATTGTTGGTTTTCACTGACTGTGCATAAATGTTTCTTTGGCTGCATTTACTGCAGATCTTGATGGTCAACTCGGACTCGTATCTGATTGTCTGCATTTACACAGCACATGGCAAAGGCACAATGACCAGGAAAAAAGTGTGTGCACTGACTGACAGCTGATAATAAAAGAGCTCGCTTTTCTCTATACCTGTATTTAATCTATTTGCAGGGTTTCCTTTTTTATTATTCTTTTTGACAAGCTGTTTTAGTATATCTTATAACGTTTTCATAAAGTTTTCATTTGGCCGACTTCTTTAATCTAGACCTTTTTAAACCAGTAGGTGTCTCAATGTCATGTCCATGGCATGATCAATGCATGTGATATATGCAATAGTTTTATATTAGTTTATATTGGTTAGGTGGCACATATTGCTCTCTCTCTCTCTCTCTCTCTCTCTCTCTCTCTCTCTCTCTCTCTCTCTCTCTCTCTCTCTCTCTATCAACTCTCGTTAACATGCTTAAACACTTGTGCTACATGACAATATGAAAGCTTTTTTAGTCCTCTTGTATGAAATTTAAGGTTTGGGACTCTGCTGAAGTCTGTTCTGAAATGAAAGCGTCAGACTTGACGTCATTTGCTATGGTTTTTAATGATGCGTGAGTCACATGGACTGGTGAAAAACCGATCTACCTGCTTACACTGTAGACATATCATATCACATTCATATCAGATAAATTTCCACATAAGAACAAAGCCTAAATCAGATTTGAGTAAATCAGAATCCATGTGATTTTTTTCCCTGCTTACATGTACTTGGGTCATATCCAATCTGTGCCAAATGGGAGAACAAAATCTGAAATAAGTTACTTAAACCAATGTAAATGCAGCCTTTCTTAAAAACACAATCATATACACACATGTTACTATCATATTATTTAGCCCAGTTTGTGCTGTTTACAGCGCTATTAGACTTTAGCCATTTATCTACTGTATGTATAGTCATCTGAAAAAAGCTCTAATGTCAGACCACATCAGAACTTTTCCAGTCCCCCAAAACACCCTCAGACCTCAGGAAGTTTAGCGCAAGAGGAGCTGCATATTTTATATTTAGGCATATCTTGCGGCTATACCAATGAAGGTCATTAAAAAACATATAGTACTGTACCATAAATAATCTCTGTGGTGAAAACACATCCAGTCACAACCCCAGGAGAACTTCTACTTTAAACAATTTCATGCTAAATATTTATTGAAACTACAGTACACTTGTCGGCCTTATTGTAAGTTTAAACCCCCAAAAGCATTAATTTTTGGTGTTTTCTTCTGCCCTGCAGGTGCCAGAGGGTGAAGTTGGTGTAGTGTGAGCGGGTCCCCGTCGCGGGTCACAGTTTTAGTGGTGGTGATGGCGGCACATGGACTTGCGGCTCGACTCTTGCCACTGCTGCTGCTGGCCATGTTGGCAGTAGCTCATGCCTCCATCTTCCTGTCCAATCAGAGACTCAAACCTCGATTCCAACGAGACCGTCGAAACATCCGGCCCAACATCATCCTTATCCTCACTGATGATCAAGACATTGAGTTGGGTGAGTGGAGAAAGAGCAATTAGATGCAATTAGGATCACGTGTTTTTCATTAACGGTTGGTTTTTGGAGTGGAGACTACTGCTAAAACAAAGATAAAGCAAAGTTAATTAAATGCATTAAATAGGAGACTAACAGTACCCAAATATTATGTTCAGGAGGCATGTTTTATTTTAATGGTTGCTCTGTCTTTAAAATAAATTCTAATATATTTACATTTTTGTTAGGTTAAAAAAATCAGTTAATGTTGCAAACTGTTGTGGTCATTAATATGTGATTTTAAAAAAAAGTTGATTTACTATTTTTATTCTGAAAACATGCAGTCAATTCAATAAAAGTGACAGCAAAGAAAAGACAATATTGCGGAAAAAATCTTTAAAATTGATATTTATAAATATAACCACAAAGAGCAATTATGAGGTGCTTAAAGAGTTTTATTGCTTTTATGTTCTTGGCATATATACGGTATGTAAAACGTACAGACATTGATTTTCAAATGTCTAAATATTAATCCAAAGCTAAGCCTGTGAGAATAATTAAATTCATGAGTAGATTCTATGGTTTTTAATTGCAAATTCAGGGAGTTTACCACAGAAAAAGTATGCCTTTAAAACTGTTACAATAACAGCTTTTGCCCAGTCTCCTTAAAATGTTGCTAGCATGGTTGAAATACTGCTCAAAAAATAAATGGAATCCTTACACAACAGAATGTCACTGCAAGTGTTCCCTTTATTTTATTTTTGAGCAGTATATTTTGGATTTAATTATTTATTTATTTTATTTTATTTTTTTTTTTTTAAGATTTATTGGCTTTTTGGTAGATGTGATCAACACCACATTTGTAAATGACAGCTTTCAAAATTCTGGAATGTAACATTGTTTAATAGTTCTTGGCATAGCGAGTCCAGTGAATTGTATTGAAGTTGTTTTATACAGTATAGGTTGAAAGATTAACCCAACTCCGAAAAAATTATTTTTCAAATAATGTCCAATATTTAATAAATTTAATGTTTGATTGATGTTGTTGGAGAGGCAAATTTATTTAGAATGATTTTGTTCAGTGTGAATGTTGTCTGTGTGGGGAAAATTCCATTGCATAGAGTCTATTGTGTGCTTAAAAAAGTCTCTAGTAGCTGATGTTTTTCACATTTTCTTAGGGGCCACAACTTTATCACAGAATGAAAATACCTTTTCAGATGTGTTAAAAAAAGAGTTTTTCCGATTGTAAAATTGTTTCACAGTATTACAGTTTTTACTGTTTATATTGACCATAAATGTAGCTTTAGTGACTTATTCAAGAAAATAATTTTTACTTCTTTATGTACAAGTAGGGGCCTTGTTGTCAAAATGACATTAAAAACACAATGGAAAAACACACACAGAGAAAAATGCAGATCGATTTTATGTCAAACCCCTTTTTTTTTTTTTTTTTTTGTCAAAAACATCCATTTGACATCCACACATTAATGTATTGACCACCAAAATAATGTCACAGAAAGTAATATAATAGAAACTTTTTAAAACCAAATTTACACAGGATTTTCTATCCCTATAATGTATGTAAATTAAAAACGACACCTAAGTACCTATAGGGCAAAACATGTCAAAAAAAACAATTGACTACCTTGATGTCAAAACGACATCAATTTGACATCTAATATTGGTGTCAAAAAACATGCCAAAAATCAATTATTGGACTGTTCTGGGTTTTTTTTTTTTATGCAAATGTTTTTTGATGCCAATATTTAATATCAATTTGATGTTATTTTGACATCATGGTTTGTCAACTTTGTTATTCGATGTCATTTTGACATCATGGTGCTTGATAAGAAGTTAGTATCAAAAAAAAAAAAAAAAAAAAAAAAAAACTACTAACACTTCCCTTCTTAGACTTTACAGACCTGAAACTTGCCTTTAGTACTTATTCATTGTTGCTCTTAGTTGTGTAAATTGCTTCCTTGTCCTCATTTGTAAGTCGCTTTGGATAAAAGCGTCTGCTAAATGACTAAATGTAAATGTAAATGTAAATGTAGTATGATGTATTACCAGTGTAGCCTAATCCTTTACTGCTTGTAAAATCATTGACCATCACATATACTTGTGCTCCAGTTTCAAAAATCTCTAATTGCTCTAACAAATGAGATCTCTCAGTCCAGAGAAGTTACAAATACGTGACCGAAATAATGCTGAATGAGCACTTGTTTCTGATTGTGTTTGCATGCCTGAGAGCTCATTTATATTTTACAGGCTGCCTCTGTATGCTGAAAGAGACATCTTTGGCTTTGTCAAATGCAGAAGACACTAATTCAATTAGAAAGGAAAGTCCCTCTCAGCAATGGGCAGTGTAGATTTTATATGCACACACACACACACATACACGCGTGCGCACATACTTGCGTGATCTGGAATTACGAATATGACAGAGATATGACTGTTCATGTCTTGCCTCGTTTCCGTTTTGTTAGTGTGGATGCTGATTTGTGTTGTCCATCCATACTGACCTCTGTGTGTAAAGTACAGTGTGTGCGTCAGAAAGCCTTCATGCAGTGTGTGTTTGTGAGCGCTGACCTTTCTGCACCAATCTGTCGAGGTGCGGTGATCCTTTCTGAAAAGGACAACCTAAACTGACTTCCTGTCTACAGTTATACCAATTGAGCCAATCGGGTTGTAGCTTTTCTGTGTTTATACAGATGTAGTTTTTTATTATTTATACACTGCAAAAAACCTCACTTTGAATTTTTGTCTTGTTTCTAGTCCAAATATTTAAACATGCTTTAATCGATTTGGAAGTAATTAGTCAAAATTAAGTGAGTTTTCTCAAAACAAGTTTTGAGTTTTTTTTATAAAACAAGCCAAATAATCTGCCAATGGGGTAAACAAAGTACTCTTATTTCAAACTGAAAACAAATATATTTTGCTCACCCCAATGGCAGATTGCTTCTTTTAAGGAAATTAAGGAATTCATTCTGTCTAATTTTTCTTAAAAACAAAACAATATTTTAATCTTGTCTTGTCTCTTGACTTGTGTGCGTGTGTGTGTGTGTGCGTGTGTGTGTGCATGTGTGTGTGTGTGTGCATGTGTTTGTAAGAATTATAAAAAGTCTCTTATGCTTCCTAAAATTGTATATATTTCATCAAAAACACAAACTTGCGTAATGAGAGCTAAATTAAATGCTTTATTAATTATAAAGTGTGTGTAATATTGACGAAAATACTAGCTGAATATTTTGAGTAATTTTTTATAACAGTTTGGGCATGTCATGAAAAAATAAATATTTATATGATTTTAATAAATTCTGTTTTAATGAGTGATTTATTTAATTATTCATTCAAATAATGACAAAGTGACAGTGTTGACGAATAGATCAGTGAATCACTGATAATTAAAAAAATTAACGAATTGAAAAGAAACACATCACTGTTCATCTGAGAATAACAAATGTTTTGGTGCTAGAACTTTTATCATTGACATAGCAGAAATATGCACAATACTGTATCCAAAAAGTCACTCACTCATTAATATTATAAAAAAGCCAATCTTGCTTGTGTGTGATATTATATATGTGTCACCCTGCAGCCAAAACCAGTTTCTCCCTGAAGCTAAGCAGGGCTGAGCCTGGTCAGTACCTGGATAAGAGACCACAAGGGAAAGCTAGGTTGTTGTTGGAAGTGGTGTTAGTGAGGCCAGCAGGAGGCGCTCAACCAGCAGTCTAATACCCCAGTATAGTTCAGGGGAGACTATACTGTCAGTGAGCGCCATTTTCGGCTTGAGACGTTAAACCGAGGTCCTGACTCTGTGTCATTAAAAATCCCATGGCATATTTCGTAAAGAGTATGGGTGTAACCCCAGTGTCCTGGCCAAATTCATGGCCTTTACTGATCATGGCCTCCCAATCATCCCCATCCACTGAATTGGCTCTATCACTGTCTCTCCACTCCACTCCACCTATAGCTGGTGTGTGGTAACCGCATTGGCGCCAATGTCCCGTGGCTGCCGCCACATCATCCAAGTGGATGCTACACACTGGAGACGCCCCTTATGATTGTGAAGCGCTTTGGGTGTATGGCCATACACAATAAATGCATTATATAAATACACATTACATTACATTACATTGCATATCTATATATAATGTTACTAAATCATAAATACACAGAAAAAAAAAAGGATTCTTTGAATTTACTTTAGTGGTTGCAAACAATTTATATGGGCTGAATTTAAACAAACAAATTAAGTTGAACGTTACTAAAAAAAATTTGTTTGTTTAAAATCAGCCTATTTAAATTGTTTGCAACCACTAAAGTAAATTCAAAGAATCCTTTTTTTTTCTGCGTATTTATGATACCTTAAAAAAATGTAAATCTAATGAAAACATGAAGGAATATGTTTCCATTTCTTGAATTATAGGGTCATTCAAACAACATACAAATAGACTTTAGGCAGTTATGTGTTTTTATTTTTGCAAAGTTCACGATGTCAGGTTTGTTAAAACAATTACAGTATTATTAATAATAGATTCTATTTATTACAAAGGTTTAAATAAATTTTTCAAAAGTATTGACCTCAAATCATTAAAGTCTTAAGATAGAAGTTTGCGGTTGCCATTTGTGTGTTAATTTGAACCAAAGAGAGAAAACAGGTTTTGAAAAGCATATTTTGCAAGTGAGGCTTGAAATAAATAGTTTATGACTTGTGAATATAACTCTGTATCACATATCTGATATAAACATACACATTCATGCACAAATACACACACCACTGGTGTCATATGAACTCCCAGGCTGCAAACAACCAGTGTGTTTCCTCTTCAAGGCTGGAGTGTCACAAACACAGAATAAAAGAAAGAACCGATACCCTTATCTTGCTGATGTCTAGTGTTTTAGAAAGGAAGAGAACTAGAAGAAGCCAGTTCTCTTTGAAGCAGACCAATTAGCAGAGCAGACTTTGTGTCACCTTCAGTAATATGGGATTGATCCTCTCTGTCTCTCTGTCTCTCATGCAGGCTCCATGCAGGTCATGAATAAGACCCGGCGGATCATGGAACAGGGTGGAACGCACTTTTCCAATGCGTTCGTCACCACACCCATGTGCTGTCCGTCACGCTCCTCCATGCTGACGGGGAAATATGCCCACAACCACAACACCTACACCAACAACGAGAACTGCTCTTCGCCCTCTTGGCAGGCCCAGCATGAGCCGCGCACTTTTGGAGTTTATCTCAACAACACCGGCTACAGGACAGGTGGAGAACATTCACAAACACATGCTAAAAGAATCACTTGGGTCACTAGTGTTTCAAATTATGAGTTGCACTTCTGGTTTTAGGGCTTTTTACAAAAAAAAAAAAAAAAAGTGTACTTATAATAATAATAATAAGGCTCTGCTGCAAATAATCCATACACACTCAGAAATAAAGAGACAAAAACTCTCCATGGGGTAGTACCTTTTTCTAAATCTACACTTTTGTACATTAAAGGTGCACATTTGTACCTTAAAGGAACATTTGTAGGGTATACTTTTGAACCTTTAAGGCACTATAAGGTACATATTTGTACTTTTTAGGTATAAATAAGTACCTTTAAGATACAAATGTGGACCCGATACAAGTGTAGCTTTTGAAAAAGTATGACCTCAGTAACAGCTTTTGTACCTTTAATTCTGAGCCTATACAGTACATAGTGAAAACTGAGTTAGACATATGCTTGACTCTGTGTTTAATTTTTTCCATTATGACTCAATGGCATTGGTATAACAACCATGTGGCCAGAGTTTTTTTTTTTTTTCTTTTTAGTTCATCAAGTTTTGTTCCTTTAAATTATTTTCTATATTATATTCAATCATGCATTCATTCATTTTCTTCTTGGCTTAGTCCCTTTATTAATTCGGGGTCACCACAGCAGAATGAACCGCCAACTTATCCAGCATATCTTTTACGCAGCGGATGTGTTTCCAGCTGCAACCCATCTCTAGGAAACATCCATACACACTCGTTCACACACATACACGACGGACAATTTAGCCTTCCTAATTCACCTATACCATGTCTTTGGATTTGTGGGGGAAACTGGAGCACCCGAAGAAAACTCACATGAACACAGAGGAGTAATATTTAATTTAAATCTTTATCATTGCTGCGGAAAAAAACATGTTTTGGGTTTTGGGGATTGTTCATAGTCTGCTAAATGTAATTTGATTCTTCTAATAAGTTTTCTTTCAGCTTTAGGCTGAACTGTACAGAAATAATGTCACCTCATTATACCTAGTTGAAAACTGATTGTTTACAATTTGACAGTTATTCCCATAAGTTATGCAAAACATCTTAGGAAAAATATATAGTAGAATTAAGCACAGTGCAGTAATATGCACAGAATACGACAGACAACATCCAGAATAGTATTAAAGTTTGAAAAAGCATAGATTCCAGCATAAACTAGTGGAGAAATGAACAAAATACACTATTGAATTGCAAAATTTGCTAAATGTTAACAGTTTAATGAAAGTTATTCCCATATATTTATGCAAAACATCTTGGACTTTAGGGAAAATTATGCAATTGAATTAGAATTGAGTACTGTACAGTAATGCAGAGTGCAGAAATGTACAAACACTGCATCCCAAATAACACACACTATGCACTTATACACGCAGCAGCATACTATATAAATTTCGTGTCATCTGAAATGTAGAATAAGTGAAGTTTATTTATAAACTAATTTCGAGAGGATCACGTGATTATGATTGAACATGGCTGGTTCTTCATTAGCTACGTATGATCCACCAATCAGGCCAGTTCTAACCCATTTTAAAGAGCCAGGGTTTCTTACTACAGCCATCTTCGATTTCAAGAATCCGCCCTTCCACCCCAACTTCTCCACCTTCATAGAGTGGCACAGTGGCCCAGTGGTTAGCAATGTTCCCTCACAGCAAGAACGTCACCGGTTCTAGTTCTTTAACAGGCCGGCGATCATTTCTGTGCATAGTTTGCATGTTCTTCCCGTGCTCGTGTGGGTTTTCCCCGGGTTCTCCGGTTTCCTCCAACATTCCAAAAACATGCACTACAAGTGAATTGATCAATCTAAATTTAGCACTACAGTCAAACCCTCATCCTGCAGCATATATCTTCATAACATTAATTTTATTCATCAGCTCTTATCAAGCTGTGGGGGTAGCTGTTGAGATCTACCTGAGCTCAAAGCTTTCCTCTCGCCCTGCAAACGGGAGGGACCCCAGGGCTCAGGGGTCAGACCTTTTTGGCTCAGGGGTCTCTCCTGGGACAGCATGCCAAACTTGTTTATAATCAATCATCAGCTTTTAACAGTGTTCAAAAGTTGACTAAAACTGAGTAGACAAGTCAAAAATACGACATATTTAAAAAATTGGCTTCTAGACTAAAGCAGAGAAGTCTGCCATAGAGATTAGTAGGAGCAAAACAAACATACAATACAACTAGAATTAAGTATTGAAGTAGAGCCCTTTTTGTAGTGTAAACTTATTGTTGGACATGTAACGGCAGTAACTTTAACATCACACTCTACAGTAATATCCCCATACTCTTTCATGATTTCTATCTCTTTTTTTAACACACCAGATCATTATGATGCATAAACCTTCCCTGAAAATAACAACAGGGCATCAATGTAGAATTAATTTCATAGATTAAGCTGAGCTCTCATTCATTCTTAAGCTGTTTGATCAGTCAAAGCTGTGTCTGTTGGGTTTTTCACACACTCTCGGTGGAGATTCAGTGTGACAGCCCCTCAGGTCACACACACACTCTGTCAAACAAACTCTCACAGACTCTTGCACGAACATTGACATAATCAGCCTTCAACAGATGATTTTCATTAAACCAAAAAAAAGCTCTGGGCTGTAATAGATGATTTTGTGTATTTGTGTGTGCGTGTGAAATTGTTTGTAACACAGACATCAAGCACAACTACTATGTATATGTAAACATAGCATGGCCAGCTGTGACTGTTCAGTTTGTACAAACACAACAAACACACACACACACACCCACACACACATACACACACACACACACACACACACACACACACACACCTGGCAGTGAGTCAAGCTTTTAGTGGTAACAGTGATCCATTAGAGCACACTTCCTCTATGAGAGAGACCGGCCCTGACCAACATCCCCTCTAATGTAACATTTCCAGCACAAATATTCATCCATCTTCACGAGGCTCCCTGTACTCCATTTATCTGCATCCGTGTTCTGTTCACAGGCTTATTGTATTTTAAATATAATGTTTGTTGTTTTTAAGTCTGAAAAGTTTGCACAACTCCAGCTTCCAATTCTATCATGACCACATTTCAATACTCATTGAGAGTACGTTTATATGGACACCAATAATCCGATTTTTAACACTCTGATTAAGAGTCTACCATGTAAACAGCAATTTTTGATTGCCTTAATCTGACTAAAGTCATAATCTAATTAAACTGAAATGGAATTAAGACATGTGGAGTATGCCAATTTAGTTTGCATTATTGAAGTACATGTAAACACCGAAATCAAACTATTACCATCATGTAGAATTTTTTTTGTCGCATTTTGTGACATGATAGTCCATACACAAGGCTGTTTGACACTATTCTCTGCACCTACTGAACCCATAAAGGACCACAGACACACATTGCAAAATGCAGAGGGTTTTAATTCACATTCAGCGTGCAGTATCAACAATTCCATTAAAACATCAGTCCTTAGTTCATACTCGCATCCAATACCTCGGTTTGTCACAGGGCCATGAATGAAATGTTCCTCAATGAAAGTGAAACTGTTGAACTTCAGGTAAAGTCGAAAAATTTTAAGTTAATAATCGAATTATGTGCTATAACTTGTAAAACTGGATCAAGTAAGGAACATTCAAGAAGCAACTCATGTAAACACCCTAATCATGTTATTGCCTTATTTAGATTAAAGCAAATAATATGATTACTGATGTCCATATCAACATGTTGATTCTATTGCTCTTTAATACTTAGATCTATTCTGTTCTATTCTATTCTATTTATCATGATTTCTGTTAATCTCTAGTTTACTCTACTAAAATTGATGTTCCTCTACTCAGTTTGATTCATTTGTGATACTCGGATCATTTCCTTGTTCTGTTCTATTCTATTCTAAAAAAAATTCTTACACTTCTTACACTTCTTACACTGTCCTTACACACCTGAAACTTGCCTACAGCACTTATTCATTGTTGCTCTTATAGTTAAATGTAATGTAAATTGCTTCCTTGTCCTTATTTGTAAGTCGCTTTGGATAAAAGCGTCTGCTAAATGACTAAATGTAAATAACATTCAAATATGCATGTGTTAAGTGTGGTACTTCCAACTCAGAACTCAAATTAACCTTTTGGTAGCACCAGTGAAACTTAAAAAATGTATGTGCACCAGACAAAATTTCGTTGCATCCACCAAAGATTATGACCACCGTTAATACACAATTTATATTAACAGATGCATTTGAAATCAACTCTAATTAATACAAATAAACAAATAAACAAATATCTGCATGCGCCCACCGGCCCTGCACGCACAGCTTGACGTGAAAGAGATCAACTAAATTAACAATAATAACTGTGCTGTTCTCAGGGGTGGTGTCTGATTTTGCACAGATGATACTGACATATAACTTTTTATTTGCATACATCATCTTAATAGCAATAACGGTCTTTTCCTGATCTGCAATATTAGTTTCATCTCAGTAAATGCACAACTGACAGCATCGTGATGATTTAATGAAGAATTAAATAACATTAGAACATCTCGTGCTGAAAATGTGTAGATTCAGTGGCAAACACTGTTACCTGAAAACTCCATCCCACCGGCTTTATGGTGAATGCTTTAGCCATTTTCATAGCAGACTTTAAACCACTGGACGTATTTTATCCACTCTTGGAAAAGTGTAAATTCTGGATTGATATTCATTACATGATCACTAATCTGATGTGCCATTATTTGTAACTTTAGGTTGTTTCTAAAACTAAATCTGTCAGTGTTGTTTTCATTCTCTTGGATCCAGACCTTTACAATCTTGCGGCTGTAGCTCCATGTCATCGGAACTTAGTCATTGAAGCTGATATTAACCAATCAATTTGCATTCTGTTCTAGCACAGTGGGCCAATAAAAAGCGATTGAAGGCGGGACAAGCACTGTGGGCTTTGTTTACTGTCAGTTGACATGTCAACTGTTTTAAACCATTCCTGAGTGCTGCGTTTGGTGTTTTTAGGTGCAAAGATGCATAATGCATGAATGCCTCTTAAATCCACGCATGTGCTGAACATTTTGCTCTGAAAACTGGTCGCATGACAACAATTTTATGCAGTCGCACAAATGCTAACAAATATATTTTGCATAGATAAAATTTTGGGCACATATGCGACCAAAGCGATTACAATTTTGAGCCCTGCAACTGTTATGTGTGTGGCATGTCGCAGCGCATCTGGTATGCACCCCCATCAATATTATTTTCTACTCTGCGTTCAACTTTTTGTTCTACCCAACTCTTTTTATTCTCTCTTCTTTGTTCAATTCTGTTGTGCTTATACTCACCCACTGTACTCTGCTCTCAAATCTTCTCCGTTTTTCTATTCTATTCTATTCTATTCTATTCTATTCTATTACATTATATTATAGTGCTTTCTACAAAATATATTGATCTATTCTACTTTTCAGTTTTACTCTACTGAGCTTAACTTAACTGTATTCTGTTGTACTGCACTTCTGTGTTAAACTCAACTCTATTCTAAACAACTATAGTCTGTTTTCCTGCTAATTTGCAGCTCTCAGCTCTGTTATTTTTAGTGAACTCAACACTGCCCTATTCTATTGTTCATTTCTTGTCCTGTCTGCTCTAACTTACTCTACTGTCCTTGTTCTGCTCTCCCCTAATTTATTGTCTTCCCTGCTCTCTGAAACACCGAAATGTCTCCTGAAATGATGAACGAGAACTGTGCTCTCCTGTGTGTGTTTTTTTTCCAGCATTCTTTGGGAAGTATCTGAATGAGTATAACGGTACTTACATTCCCCCGGGCTGGAGAGAGTGGGTCGCAATGGTGAAGAATTCCCGCTTCTACAACTACACCCTGTGCAGGAACGGCGTCCGAGAGAAACATGGATTTGAATACCCAAAGGTCTGCCTGCAAGTTTCTTAATAAATGTTACTTATTGTGTCTTCTTGCTTTATTTCATTCCACATCTTCATTCATTCTTTATTAGTTTTGATTGATATTCTTGAAAGCATGATGCCTTTGTAAGTAACAGTGTTGTGCTGTTTGAAAAAGTGTTACTAGTTACAGTTACTAGTTACTTCATTCAAAAAGAAACGTAATTACTTTAAGTACTTACATCAAAAAGTAGTGCATTAATGGTCAAAGTAATTTGAGTTACTTTTCTACAGAACATTTTTAATGCTCACATTAATAACATCACTTCAGTGCTGCATGAAGATTACACAGTTCATCAGCTTCACAGTTTTAATTAATTTGCATTCTCACAACTAAATCCCAAGACTGACTTCAAAAAAAGGTCATTTTTAAACACTTATTTATTTAAGATATTTAAGAAGCAGCGCGAAAAATTAACTATCACAAGGTTATAAACCAGCTGAATAATATATTTAGAAACAAAAAATGCAAAATTAAAGTTGCTTCAGCATCATAAAGTTTGTACAGTATTTAACCCTTAAACATGTTCCTCAGCCGCTTGAGTAAGAAAATAAGCAACAATATACAACAAACACAAAACCTTTATGAAATAGATAAATGAAAATAATCTGAATTATCACTCAGATACAATTCAGGGAAACTCAGCACCAAAAAACTGCTATTAAGACAACCATAAATATTACGCATTTTAAACAAAACAAAAACATAACAGCTGCTCAAAAATTAAATCCATGAGCAATTTTCACACTAACCAGAAATTAAACATGGTATGTCAACAACTTATGGAAACTAAGCTGTGTATATTTAAAGTGCAAAATCTGCTGTTGTGTGCAAATGTGTGCTTACTTATTTGAAACAACAAACATAGTAGTATTAGTAAAAGTAGTAGTAATTAATTTTCTCTGTAAACAGGAAGATGTAGGCTAGACTGCAGCCAAGCACTGCCCAACTATTATTATTATTGCCTAACACTGGTCAGAAAGGTTTCATCTACGCTACTTTTTTTCTGTTAGTTTTCACTATTTGCTGGTGTGTAACGATGCATTTGTGTAGATATATTGTAAAACAAAATTGCGACTAAAATGAGACGTAAACAGTATGGTTCGCACTATAGAATTAGTTTTATTCAAGAATCAGTATTCTGTATTTAGGTATAAATAATCTTAAGTTTTTAATTCTGTGATCATGTACTCACTCTGATTAACCTTTGTGTTATTTGTATATCTTTCAAACACAGATAATTGTGATAATTGTTCACACTGTTAGACCTTACCAGGCTTTTTTACTGTGGAACACTATCATCACTATTGCCAGTTAGTCACTGTAATGGTTTGTGTTTAGAAATGAAACAGATAGCCCATATATGTGTGTGTTAATGCCTAAATTATAGTTTTTTCCTTAAGATAAATGGACTTTTCTACAAATAGCAACATAAAGCATCAGAGTAGTAAATGTTAAACAGTAATGTATCATTTATTGTCACAGTTACTACCTGTAATGGGTACATTAAGTGAATTACTGTAATTTATTCCTTGCACCATACAATTTCATACTAATCCTACTCGTTTTACAGTAAAATAATGTTTCCTTTTATTATAGCAAAATACTGGGTATTTTACAATTATTTACTGCATAATCTACAGCAAGGGTGTGTGGATAAAACATGAGTGTTTTGTCTTGCTATGTAGAGTCCATATTCCCCTAAAGCTTAAAATATTTTTTAAAAATCATAATGGCATTGTAAACAATAATCCGACAAACTGCCTAAATCTAAATCGGAAAATACACTATATGACACAATGTCAATTTACAACTTAAAATTCATACTGCACAGTACTAAACACAGACATTCAAATGAGAGTGTCACATGTATAATTATACATGACATTTCTGAATGTTTTAGAGTTGTCATTTTGGATAAAACTTTATATTAAGTCAGTTCATGCTGTTAACAAAAAATCTTATTATTAGTTAGTAAGGTAGAAGTTGGTTTAAGGTTTAGAATAGGATTGTACTATATACGTACCAATAAAGAGTTAATATGAAGTTAATAAACCAGTAGTTAATAGCATGAATTTTGACTTAAGCTAAAGTGTTAAATCAATTTTGATACACATGAGTAATAGCATTAATAAACAAAAGCATATATATTTTCAGTTTTATCATCATGAATATTTGGATTCTGGTGTCACCTTTGTTGGGTTTCTTGGGTCAGCATTTTTAACAACAGTACATTAGGTTTTAGTAGTAATTTAAAAAAATGTGTGTGTGAAACAGAAGTTGCTTTTTATTTTAGTATGTTAATACACTCCCAGCTGAAACAGAGTATTGAGTAGGAGGCAGAGCTTTTATTTAGCACATCATTTCCTTATAGCAAACTAACGGTTAGAGAGGTGTGATTAAGAATATTGTTGCGGAAGCCATCAAACTGACATCATCAGAGGACTGCCACTCTAAATGTGGAAGGAATTGCTTATGCATTGATTGTCAATTTTTTTTATTATTATTATTATTATTATTATTAATTGTTCAACTAAAGAGCAACAATGTAGATTTCACACTGACTAAGTCTGGGATCATTTTGCAATAGTATCATATTATGAGTGTGTAATAGTATCATTATCCTAATATGCGTCAAACTATGATATTTTATCATTCTACCTGTTCTGGCTCACATTTAACTGAAAAGTTTACTTAAAATGTAGTATTGTATATTGTGTTAAGCTTTTGACTGAACTATTTGAAGTCTGCAGATCCATAATTAGATCTCTGTGCCTCCTGTAGGACTATCTGACAGATCTCATAACCAACGACAGCATCAATTACTTCCGCATGTCAAAGAAGATTTACCCACACAGACCCGTCCTGATGGTGATCAGTCATGCTGCCCCTCACGGCCCAGAGGATGCGGCCCCACAGTACACGACTGCCTTCCCCAATGCATCCCAGCACATGTGAGTCCAAACCTCTGCTGCAGAACCTTTCAGTTGATTTAAAAATTTGCACCATTTTAGAATGTCTTGATAAGTGGTGTTTCAGCACTAAAGCTACTTGATCTACCGCAGATTCAGTTAAATTCAATTCACCTTTATTCGTATAGAGCTTTTACAATGTAGATTGTGTCAAAGCTGCTTAACATAGGAGGTCATAGTACATTGGAACAGGGTAGTTCAGTTCTTTAGTGTTTAAGTTCAGTTTAGTTTAGCTCAGTTCAGAGTGGTTTAAACATCCCTACTGAGAGTCCAAACACTGAAGAGCAAATCCATCGATGCGTAGCTCTACCGATCCCAAACCATGCAAGCTAGAGGCGACAGTAGAGAGGGAAAAAAAAACTTCACCACTTGGCGAAAGTGTAGAAAAAAAAACCTTGAGAGAAAGCAGACTCAGTTGGGCACGACCATTTTAATTTCTCCGCTGGCCAAAAGTCTTGTGTGGAGCTGCAGTCTCAGCGCGGAGGCCAGAATGTGTAAGGTATACAGTGAAGAAAAGATTAATGTGTTTGATAGCTTGATTCTATTTCTTTATAATAGCTATTAATTTTAATAAGCTGAACTGTTTAAATTAATGTATTTGCTGCTAATATATTTATTTTTTATTTTATTAATAATAATAATAATAAAACATAAAACTAGCCATTTTACAACGAAACAGCTCCAAATGAACATATTTGGTAATTTGGGGATTTTTTTTACAGAATCCTTTATTATGGTTGGCAAATCCCTTATTTTCATATCCCAATGTTGACAGGTATGAGCTAATGAGGGAGAGATTGTCATTAATGAGCGGGGCCTCTCTATTAAGTGTTATTATTTAAAAAATCATGAGTAAATTTTTATTTAAATTAGAAGCTGCTTATATTCATACACTGTTGCCACCCAACTGTGTTTAAATAATAGGTCCTCTTTAACACCAAATAACAGAAAAATGCAGTGATAATAACAGCATAATCATTTTTTTAATTAGCAATAATTCTAAATTACTGGTGCATTGATTACAGCATTGTGATTAAACCTATAGTCTATTGATTTCTTCATATAAGCACATTTCCAGTTCTCCACTTCCAACAGCCTTTGCATTTAGGTGGCACCAAACAAAAGCAACAATATTTGCTTTTTAAGCTTAACAACTGGCCACCAAAGATTCACATGATCAATATTACTGTTTTTGTATGTATTAATTAAGTTCAAAAACATTAAGTGTCAGAAATCTGAATAATTATTAATTTGATTATAATTATTATGATTTAAAATCACAAAATGGTGTTTGTTTTAAGGTTTCAATAATAAATTAATTGAGGTGGAGTATAAAGGGTCCGCATTAGTGAAATGAACAGGAAGAAAGCAAAGAAACAGCTGGAATTCATGGATAACAGTCTGAATAAAAACTGCTTCCCACATTTCTCTACTTTTGTCACTCGAGTGCTACTCAATAGAGTTGTTATAATGGAAACAGTCCTTGTCGGTTTACACTAAAGTACCCACATGCACAGACACACACACTTGTTTTTTTCGCTGTCGTTTTCTCCCGCTCTGTTGCTAATTGCCCACCAGCTGGTACCAGACTTTTTTTTCTTTCTCTCATTCGTTCATCTCATCTCTCCAGCACATAAATCCTCTTGTCTGTATATACGCTTTTTCTGAAGGCCGGTAATCCCCCTGCCATTCTTCAAACATTCACACGTGTTGAATATACATACATAACCATGAAAAGGATATTAGCACACAATTACATACAGTAGTCTGGGGCTAAATCCAGTCTACACGTGATGCTGTTTTTTTTAGGTAGCTGGATTTGTTAAACCTCTACTCTCGCTCTCTGTGAACACTATGTAATCTCAAAATCTCATATTATAGTTCTCGAAAATCTATTGTACCCAGTAACCTCATAAACACAGCCTCTGGTTATAAGAAATCCCTGGAAATGTGTTGGATTATTGTTAAGTTTCTTCCAAGAAACAACATATCCAGTTCCTTTTTAGAAAGGGTCAGAATCATATTTTAAACGAGAACTCACATCATGGGTACCAATGAAATTTCTGTACCAATTATGTCTGTTTCAACTAACCTGAAAAACAATGAAAGTGAATTTTCATTTTACGCTCCCCCGGTGTTTTAATGGATGTGTAAAAAACAGTTCATGATGCTGCAGTTTTATCTAGGGGGAATTTACAACACAGGCTCACTGTTCACTGTACAAAAATCCATAATTTTACATTTAAAAAAATTTAAATAACCACTGGTAAAATACAGAAATTTACCATAAAATAATCTATATTAAATTACATAAATTTGAATTACTGGTAAGTTTCTATAATTTAATATCCGTTATTTTATGGTAAATTTCTGTAATTTAACGGCCGTCATTTTTACAGTATATTTCTGTAATTTAACAGCTGCTGTTTTACTGTATATTTCTGTAATTTAACGGTGATTATTTTACTTCTTTTTTTCGGCACCCCAGCTGCCAGAAAAATTTAAATTACGGATATTTTTACAGTGTGGATATGTACCCCTGTCTACATTTCTAGAGAGAAATTATGAAGAGTGAATTATGTAGCCAAAGGTATGTCTGGCTGCAATTTATCTTTAAAACGAATGGGGCGGTATGATGACGCAGACGGCTTCTGTTCATTTTAGGGCTACCAACTGGCTGCTTACCTCTATACAGACAAGTTTTCCTGTGTTACTGTTTGCCCAGTAGCTCGCCACGTAGGTTGGCAGATTTAGGATGCAGAGTTGACTGTAATAATGGGGTTCAAGTTCAGCGAAGGATTGCTACAGAAACCAGCTAAAACAAAAGCAAAAAAATAAATAAATAATAGGCTGAAACATGGTGAAATCATTTGTCTGTGAAAGCTTTTCTTTTTCTAGATGGCTTTTGAAAAAACTATGGGTTGGGTTTAGGAAAGGGGTGGGTGGGTTAGTCGGTCAGTCATTCAGTTGACATCAAGCTGAAGTGTATATTGCGTCCTCTGGTGAATTTACGCAAGAAAAGGACATTCGAGAGGAATTTGTGATCATCACAAAGCGTACACAGCGGCCTCTGGTGGATTTGCAAAAACTGCAAGCAGACGTACCTAAGGCTACATATTTCACTGTCCCCCGAAATGTAGACCTGGGTACGTGTCCGCAATGAGCCTGGGTTGAAAATGTACTCATGGCATACTTAAAGGTCTCGTGAAGTGCTTTGAAATGCAATTTCAACTGAAACATGAAGAGAAGGTGGGACATACAGTAGCCCTTCCTCCTAAATAACAGCCAGTGGGATTTTGTTTTATCACAGCGCGGCAAATAAATTGCAAATGAGATGTATCTTGAAGGGGGCAGAACAAGTCAGATACTCTACTAGAGAGCATTTGATTGGTCTTTAGATATGATGAGAAACTGAAGTATGAGATAATTTAAAAAAAAAAAATCTATTTAGGTGGAAGTAACAAACTGCAAGATTCAGATGTTTCTATATTCTGTTAAAAAATGTTGTCACTGTTTTGTAATACAGTAGACAACCTGGACCAGTGGTTCTCAATTTCAGTCCTCGGATCCTCCTGTACAGCAACATTTTGTATGTCTTTCTTCCTTAACACACCTGATTCAGATCATCAGCTCATTACCAGAGAGATCCATGAACTCGTCCTTGTGTGTCAAATCAGAGATACATACAAAATGTTCAGGGCGGGGGGACCTTAAAGACTGGAAATGGGAATCACTGACCTAGACTAACATTTTTGATACTAAAATCCTAAAACTGATTTTGCTGAAACTTTAAGCAATACGTAAATATATAAATTACTATTTAAATGCAGCTGTCTCCTTTAATTAAAAAAATTAATTAAAATAAAATGATTTTTTTTTAAATTATGTCATCATTAACTCTCCCTCAGAGCAGAGTAAACTTCACCTAATGGATTTCTTTTTCTTCTTGTATAAGAAATAAAGACATTTTGAAAAATGCTGGACACCAATTGCAATTGACTTAAATTGTACCATAGTATTTTATTTTACTCTACTATACTTTTTTAGTAACATTCTAGAGATCATCTTTTGTGTTCAACTGAATTTTTTTATTTTTACTTTTTGGAACTTCTCTAGAGTGAGTAAATGGTGTGAAAATTTACTGTGACATTTAAACAAAAATGCTGAAGGACAAAAAAATCCAATAAACCATATTTTATTACTTATATACAGTACAGTAGCTTTCTATAATCATCCTAACTATGGCGCACGTCCACCGAAGCATTTTTTTTTGCACATCTAAAAACACCAGAGCGTATCTACTTTAGACACAGCCAACAACACACATAAATAAATTATCAGTTGACACACCACAAATGCGCAAACAACAGCCTATAAAATACTAAATTCTCCTTTCTCTCTCTCTCTATGTCTGCCTCTCTTTCTCTACGATTCGATTTGCTTTCAGGACATTGTGTCTCTAAGCACAAAACCACACAACGATGAGCTCCCATTTCTCTTGCATTCAAGCAAGAAAGAGAGAGAGGGACAGAGCTAAGGGATACTGTCAGTAAATATTACTGTCTATCCTGAAATATTGAGGTGTCAGGAATGAAATCAGACAGAAATGTGCACATTTCCATTCTCTGATGAGGGAAAAGCCTGAAATAGATATATTATTTTTCGATTAGATGATGGGAAGCCCTTCAAATAGACTTAGGCTATGCATGTGTATATTTCTGAGGCTGTTTTAGTTTAACAGGCATTTGATCACCATCGCAGTAGATAAAAACCGTAATGCAGACCTGCCCATTTTATGACTCACATAAAACATCCATCATTCCCAAGCCAGCATGTGTTTGGAATTCGACACATTTTTATTATTTTTCTGATGTCATCTTGCATTCCTCAATAAAAACAAACAGCTTTGCTCCCGTTTTACTCATCCTGTTATTTTTACACACAAACCTTTTATAAAACATATTTTATGGTTCACATTCGCCTATTACATTGCCACCTGTCTAAACATACCTGTACTTCAATGATTCATATCACTTTTTTCACCTCATAGCTAAATAAAAACATGGCCTGCTCTATGCATGCATTCATATATGTATCATTCCCTTGCCGAAAGGAGCGAATGTCCCAGAATTCCTCTTTTAACAGGCCATGAAAAATTTCCTGGACCGCCCTCTTTCTCTCCATTGAGTCCAGCGCAAGCCTCCCCCCCACCACCATTCATAATGGCCTCCTGCTAGTCCTGTACTTCTCCACTTCTTGCCCTCGTACAGTGCTGTATATGATTAACCCCTCGATGCCCCTCAGACTGGCACAAGGCCACCAGAGAGATATTGTTCAAATCCTCACAGATAAAATCCCCACCGTTCTCATGGCCGCGTGATCCCGCCGCACCTGTTTCATCTCCATCAAGCCTGTGATGAAGAGAATAATGAAAATATGATCAGAAAAGAACAAGAGAGGGAGTGAAAGAGCGTTTTGAGAGGATTAAAAGGATTATACGGAGACCAATAAAGGAGATGAGAGGGAATATGCGGTTCAGTGTCCGTCTACATAGGCAGCTGCCTTCTGAGGCAACCGTGATGGGATCTTATGTGACTTATTTGGAGCACTCTATGCAGGCAGCAAGTCTGCGCACCACACAAGTTGAATTTCTTACGACACACACAGCAACACACACATGTAATTTATAATTAAAATGGGGACATTAGCACGTTGCTAAGCTAATGCTTTGATAGTCTAATAACTGTGAGATATGCAGAGCATGTGCAGACTGATACGCTGGATGGTGTACATCACATGGAATTATTTATAATTTACTTTGTTCAAATATTTATAATCGCCTTTTCTGTTTACTCTTAATTCCTCTTGAGACTTATGGTAGCATGTTGCTAAGCTAATGCCTTGACTTAGCAGAACCCATAGCCCATTTTTTAATGAGTTGTATATGTGAGAATTAGATTAAAGCTATTTCTGCTCAATAGTTTTGTTACATAAAATGTTTGTTTGCAACTTTTCTGTTCGTTCTGTTCATAGTTACTTCCACTTGAGTTTGATGTTAGCTCAGTGCTAATCGAATCTTTTTGTGGTGTAGCACACAAAAATGCACAATGTTATAAATTAAGCTCATTAATCAAAAAAGCTTTATTTTTTTTAACATATGCTCATTCTGATAACGTAGCCCCATATACATTTCTGGAGATTGCAAATCATGTAGCTAGAAGTACATATGGTAGCATTTTGTCTTTAAAACAACTCTACTAGGCGGTATGAAGCCGTTCCTTTTCATGCTAGCAGCTGACCGCTTACCTCCATATGAAAGGCTTTCCCACTGTTATCAGTTTGTCCAGTAGCTCACCATGTACATTGGGGGACTTGAGATGCAGAGAGGTGCTGACCATGACAACAAGATTCGAGTCTGTGCTTTTAAAAAAACTATTGGTTGGGTTTAAGAAAGGAGGAGGCTGGGTCAGTCGATATCCGCTATGAACTGAACCATTACTCACCCTGGCAGATAGATAGCCCTGAGAGAGCACTACTACTGAGCTACTTCTCTGCCCTAAGCACATAAGCAAATATTGCGTGAAACTCACACACTTGTAAAGCAGTTTGGGTGTATGACCATACACAATAATGCCCAGCACATTAATGTGTATGGTCATACACCCAAACCGCTACTAGCACTTTAGTTTAGGTCACAATTTAAGCTATTAACAAGCCATTAACTAACACTACTAGCTTAATAAACTACTAATGAGCTGCTTATTAACAGTTAGTAAGGTAGAAGTTGGGTTTAGGTTTAGACATAGGGATGTAAAATAAGATCATGCTTTTTAACTGATAATAAACAGATAACATCTTAATAATAGCTGGGTAATAAGTAGTAATTATAAACTGTTATGGGACAGTTATGCAGAATGTTACTGTATTTTAAAGTTGCTTTGTGAAAATTACTGTATATTTTATGGTAAAGAAATACAATATTATAAAAAACACATAATAATTGGTGCTGTAAGTGTAAATACTCTTGCTGATTTACGGTAAGAACTGTTGCCAGTAAATTACTGTAGATTCTACTGGAAATTGTTAACAGTGCATGAATTGTGACCTAAATTAAAGTGTTACCAATGTACTATAAAATGCACATCTCACGTTACATTAGAACTGTATTTCTAATGCAAATTAGAGCAGTTTATAGTGTTAGGGTTCTTTTGAAAAAATATTTAAAATAATTTTACTTAGTTAACTCTGATTGAATTTAACATTTTGCTAAACTATTACCTCAATAATTTAATAACCTTACACAGCACAATAATATTGAACGAAAAAGCATGATAATGACCATTCAGTCGAGTAATAGCATGCGAATCGGATGTTTTTTTTTTTTTTAATAATGTTCAATAACTTACATTGTCAACTCAACAGAAAAAAGTCAATGTTGTTACAAATGTTTTACTGTAAGCTAATGCATTGATAGCCTAACAAACTAAGAAAATACACAGCACACATGATTCCGGAATAAATTAGCATATTATATATATACAATGAGTGACAGTTAAAAATTACTACTACCGCCACATACAGTACCTGTGTATACGCTACACATACCGTACAGTTCTATCTAGTATTGTGAAAAAGGAAAGCTGGGTACATTGAAAACTGAGTGGTGAGACTTTAGCTGATAAAGTCTATGAAGTCACACACACACACAAACAATGTGTGCAGTACAGCGCACCCGACTCCGTTCAGATTCATCACCACGCACGATCGCGTTCCTCAAATTTGCTTAAACTAAGCGTTCCAAAGTATGGCTGTATTTTACAAGCAAGGATTCTGACACAGCAACATGAAGCAAATGATTTACGTAAGTTGCATGGGGAAACACATCAAACTTAATGAAACAATTGAGGGCGCAGGGAATCAACTTAAGGGCAGAGGAATGGGCTGTCTTTGACAGCTTGCGACATCATCTGGCACTTTTACTGAGTACATTTACATGGATGCCAATAATCAGATTTCATGATTGAGTTAATACTGATTAAGAGTCTACCATGTAAACAGCGATTTTTGATTACCATAAAGGACCACCCGAGTCATGAAACATGGAGGTATTTTTTTCCGTTTGCCATGCGGTATCAAATTCCATTAAAACAACACTTTTCCAGGAGTCCTTGCTTCCTATTTTCATCCAATAATTGTTACGGGGCATGAACAATATGTTGCTGAATGAGAGTGAACTGCTGAACTGCAGTTAAAGTCGAAAGATTAAAAATGAAACACACGAAATTGTTTGAAACTGCATGGAGGACACTTTCCTTTTAAAAGTGCTTCCTTGGTCTTATCCATATTTCTTTGCACATTAAACACACGTCAGCCACAACAGGAAATTTAAAAAAAACTGCAACTGCGTTAATTTTTTTAACGCGTTTTATATTTCAAAATTAAACGCATGCATTAATGCGCTAATTTTGACAGCTCTAATATATATATATATATATATATATATATATATATACATATATATATATATATATATATATACAGCTCTAATATATACAGAAGTACATCATGTTTAGACCCCATTTATTAAGTTTTAATATGATTACATTTTTAAGTGTGATTAAAATTTGTGAATAAACTAATCAGTAAAAGAAATATTTAACTTGCCAAAAGCTTTCAACAAATCAGTTGAGAAAGCCTAATTTTAGTAACTTCATCCAAATCATGATTCAAAAACTACAACAAACTCTTCTGGAACAGCAGTATGAAAAAATCAATTAATAAAATATCATGTTTTATTATCTTCCCATATGTCTGGGAAAGCAGCTTAGAATCTGTACAGACTGGAATAAAAAAAAATTTAATCAAGCGACAAAAAAACAGCGTACATTATTCCTCTAAGCTCACATCACAGCCACACAAAGAGACACCAAAGAGAGAGAGAAAGAGAGAGAGAATAACATTGTCCCTTGTTTGTCACTAATCCGTTACCAGTTTAAATATATGACACTCTCCCAGGCAGCGAGGAGATCAGCCCGATGATGCGCACATTGATTTGTCTATAGCAGGGCTTTAAGTCATGGCTGTAAACAACAGATCAGTGTGCTTTTAATCACAGCCGTAAAGTACTTTTTGTTTCTAACAGGCCTCTTCACTCCTGTCACCAGAACCAGGAGGAGGAGCTACAAACACTTTTCCCGCTCTTTTTAATCCCTCAATAACGGCTCAACAACCATTACATCCACAGAGTGTCAGCCTGCCAGAGAAACCACAAGCCTGTAAAATTGCGATGTGTCATTTTTCGAGGAGCCGAGAGAGCGAGTCGACTGCTGTCATCTGTAATTCTGACCATGCAAACACACACACACACACACCTTCACACATTCACACTGACACATCGCAGCTGTCAAAATCCGTCTGCGTGCTTTTCCTCCAACATCAGCAGGACATAGTCAGCAAACAGGAGCTCTGAAATTCTTAGTGGTGCTCCAGCAGATTCACTGACTGACACTCTTTTCTTCTCCTTTCAGAACGCCCAGTTATAACTACGCCCCTAATCCGGACAAACACTGGATTATGCGCTACACCGGCCCCATGAAGCCCATTCACATGGAGTTCACTAACATGCTGCAGCGCAAGAGGCTGCAGACGCTGCTGTCCGTGGATGACAGTGTGGAGAAGGTGAATTAGACTGAATTAATATATAGCGGGGTCTGAGGGTTCTACAGTGAAGTGCTTAAAAGCATACTGCAGCATTGTCTTTTTACATGGTCAGAGCCAAACTTCATACTGTAGTTAGTGTAATTTATTTACTATATTAGTGTTCGTTATTAGGTGGCCTTAACTACTATGTACTTGCATCAAAACATAAATGAATACTTACTGTGTTTATAATGTATTACAGAACATTTATGGTTTTAGAGGTGGGATATAGGTAGGGTTGGGACAGGTTTGGTGGTATGGGTAGGTTTAATGGTACGTTCAGGTGTAAGGGATGGTCAACTGTGTCAACAATTACACATGCAATTACATACAGGTATTTAATGTAAAACATATTTACACAATTAGTACAAAATGGGACATTTGTGCTGTTGTTTTATATATTATAAAATATAAATAAATTATTATTATTATGTATTTATTTATTTATTTATTAATAGTTCAGAATTTTTTTCAGGTTATTTTTTCTTTTTTTTGGTGTTTATTATTGTTACAGTATGTACTATTGTTCTTTTATTAATATATTTTATAGTTTCATTTTTACTCATTTTTTCTGATTTTTACTTTTGTTTGTATATTCATTTTTATTATTTTTCAATTGTTGTAGTATTTTATTTTGTGCTTTGCTGTTTTTCAGTAATTATTATTTAATTTAGTTGTAGTTTATTAAGCAAAATGTATTTTCAAATTTTAGAAACAGTAACATCACTAAATACAATAGTCCATTTCCTTAAACCAAACCTTGCCTTTTTCCCAGGAAAATAAAGTTTTCAGCAGAATTTCCTCTGAAATGTCCTGGGTCAATGTTCCTCATAATTTATTCAAACACACTCATGTTTCCTCTGTCTGAATGTAGGTATATAACATGTTGGTGGACACTGGGGAGCTGGACAACACATATGTGATCTACACTGCCGACCATGGATACCACATCGGTCAGTTCGGCCTAGTCAAGGGCAAATCCATGCCTTACGAGTTCGACATCAGAGTTCCCTTCTACATTCGTGGCCCTAATGTGGAGGCAGGAGGCATGTGAGTGATCACGCTCCTCAGATATTATCACTATTATCTTTTAAATGCAAATAATATGGAATTAGCTGGCATATAATGTCATAATCTTGTCTGTATATATATGGTATATAGCTGATATATACAGTACTGTGCAAAATTTGTAGACCAACTTTTACTGATGGTATAATGGATATATGTGACCCTTTACCACAAAACCATAAAATGTTTTGTTAAATTGAGATTTATACGGGGTAAATTGTCTTTCATTTGATGTTTGGTTTGTTAGGATATGAGTTAAGTTAGGTTAGATTAGATTAGAGTTAGAAATATTTTGACATAATTTTTTTACCAGTGTTGTTAGCAATATTGTATGAATTGATGGAATTGTGCATGTTGAAAAGTACAGATACAGTTTTAATCCATTATATCGCTCCTTCTTGACAGAACTTGAGTGGTAATATTTTCATTTTCAACATCATAATGATCTGCTAAATACTCTGAAAAACTAACTGGAGAAAGAAAACAGATGAAACACAGACAGTCATGAAATGGCCTCCACAGAGTCCAAACCTGAATATTATAGAGGCTCTACAGTATGAGATCAACTGGAAAGAAAAAGAAAGATAAGACACTCTAAACTAAGAACTTTGGAAAGTGCTAAAGGAAAGCCTGATATGTTAACATTCCTCATGATGTCGTGATTTTTTTATTGGCACATTTCATCCAATCAGTGGTAAAAAAAATAAATAAATAAATAAATGTTTTCTTTATATGTATATGTTGCTTTTGCTTAATATTTATTTAAAATTTTTATTTAATATATATTATAAATAGTTTGATTCGTTTTTAATTGTTTTACAATTATCATTATGTATTATCTAAATAACTTCTAAAAAAACATAAAAAGTTATTATTATAATTATTATAATTATTATTATTATTATTATTAACTAAAAGTAACACAAACACACTAATCAAATTAAAATATAAAAATATTTAATATTTAATACAAAAAAAATTCAGGCTAATAAATAATTTTTGATAGTTTTACAATTTATTTATTTATTTATTTATTTATAATATCAATAAGCACTACACACAAAATATATAATGATTTTATTTATATTTTATAGAAATATTTTATACATAGATTTTTTTTTTTTCATAGAATGATTACTTATAATTTTATAATGATCATTTACTTTTTTTATGCCAGTAATATATAATTATGTAGCATATAAATAATTGTTATGTGTGGAATAACTCATGTTTTTGTACCGAGGCCAAAGTTACTTTTTAATGAGGTCTGAACTCGGTGTTTGTTGATTTATGCGTCTTTTCATGACTTTCCAGCATCCTCTTATGTGCAGAGATATAAAGAGATCAGCACATGTTGCAGGCCATGTTTGAACCTGCATCCCCACAGGAGAAACTGTCTCTCTCGTCAATGTTAAATATCATTTGTCAGTCGTCTTGTTTTGTGTGATCCTGCTTCTTTTTTCCCTGAAAAGCTGATTAACCGCAGTAAAGTCCGCTCATGTGAAAACCACAAGACTTATACTGTGAAAGAAAGACACAGAAAAGAGGATCAGGAGTTTGGCAGAGCCGGGCTTTAGTTCAGCATCACAAGCACAGTCACACAGAGATGAAGCTAATTTACCTTTTAGAAAAGTTTTGTGCGAGTGTGATTGGATTAGTGACCACTGAGGTTTATTGCATTGACTGGATTTGAAATGCTCAGTTTTGAAATTGACACTCATTTTTTTAATTATCTAAGTGAACGAATGAAGTAGAGCATATGAGGGGAGTTTGTTTAATGTGTTTTAACAAACATTATGAATTCTTAGTATATCCGACTATATATTAGTATGAGTGGTGAAAAGAGTACTGAAAAATCATACTCAAGTGAAAGTACCATTACTTGCCCAAAAACGTATTGCAAGTAAAAAAAAAAAAAAAAGTTACTGGTGTAAATAATACTCAAAGTAAGAGTAAAAAGTAGCCCTTTCAAAAGTTGAGTAGTGAGTAGTGAGTATTATGCTGTGAAAGTCTGATGTGTTTACATGTAATTTGTGCATGTGTGTGTAAACGTAACATTCTGTAGTGCATTCAGTTATTGTTTATTTTGCTCATCATACAGTAAACATCCTCCATCTTCTCGTCAGTAATATTTAGTCTAAACAGTTTCTGGGTTTTGCGTGTAAAGGATCTTCTTGGACACTTTTAATGCTTCCAGACAGTTTGCTGCATGTCTTAAGCCGCCTTTCCACTGCACAAGACATTCGGACACGACTGTAGGAATACGACCCCTCGTGGCAATCTCACAGAATTTTCAGTTTTGACATGCACCATGGGAGAGAATCTAATTCTCGCGGTGTCCATAATAAAGGAGTACAAGAGCAAGAGACTTTATTCTCTGTGCGTTCACTAGGGTTAAATGAATGAATGAATGAATGAACAAATGAATGAATGAATGAATGAATGCATCTCATAAACCGCATAAAAAAAAAATTGAATGTGGAGAAAACATAAAACAATAATATTTTTATTACTCATTTATAACTAGAAATGTTTTTATATAGACTTTTTTCTAATTCAAAAAATAATGAAAAAAAAAGTATTTCTCATCTCGCACGCATGGACCTGCTTGGACAACATTGGAATTGGAATACATCACGTTGTCGCACATGGTCTAGTTGCAGAAGTTCAAATTTTTCAATGCATGCGCAGCTCAGATTGGATCTGAATTTTCCGCACACGGTGATGATTGAAACTCTTCTGGACTACTCTCCATGACTTTTGGTCTGTCGTTTGCCATGTGTAGTGGAAAGGCAGCTTTAAGATCAGTCTGTGATTCATTTAGATTTAGAATTAATAAAGACAGGAATCGCAGGACGGATTTTGATAATCCCCATAGACAAGAAATAATGACTGCAGTTTAAAGAAAAGTAGTGGAGTAAAAGTAGCGATACAGCAGTAAAAATGTACTCATTGGGAAAGTAAAAGTATTTTTTAAACTACTAAGTAAATTACATTTTCCAAAAAAAAAAAAAAAAAACTACTCAATTACTTTGTACAAAATTACTTTGTATTTGTAACTTGTTACTTTACACCACTGATTAGTATATGAGTCTGTAACACCATTCTGCACAGTGAAACGATGAACAAAATGGATTAAATCAATAAAAAACAAGCTTCACAACCCACAACTAAAATATGTATATATTCACAGTATTAAATATAAACGTTCACATTATTTCCTATTTTTCTGAAAAGGTTTTTTTTTTTGTTGTTGTTTAATTTGATAGGTAGGGAAGCAGTTTTTACATTTAAAAAAAAATCACTTCAGGGTAAATATTATTAGGTTCCTTATGATTTTTGTCTATAAAACAATACACTTTGATTACTAACACTGTGATTATTAAATCACACTTTATGTTGAATACTGGTGTCTTACAAAATAACTACTGTTAACAGTTTTTAGATATTACACAGTATTTTAATAAAATATGAACTGTATTTTACCTTAATCTGAAAAATAGCTTAAAGGGGCTAATCATTTTGACCTTAAAATGGTGTTTAAAAAATTTAAAACTGCATTTGTTCTAGCTGAAATAAAGCAAATAAGGAAGAAATAATATTATTAGACATGCTGTAAAATGTCCTTGCTCTGTTCAACATAATTTGGGAAATATTTAAAAAAGAACAAAAAATTCAAAGGGGGCATGATAAATCTGACTTCAACTGTATTTCACTGGGTTAATAATTGTCTTAACTCAAATTGTATGGATTGTATATAGTATGTTTTGTCTAAAAGGTACTGCAGACAGCATATACAGTAAACCAGCATGTACTGTACACAGACGTGTGGACTTGCGAATTTACCCTTTAAATGCACAAAATGAATGCATATTCCATCCTTTTTAGCATTCTACTTTTCGCTAAATTACCAAGCAGTCCGCAGCGTATGCTTTATCCCGTCCATACAGTGTTTAGCATCAATAGAGCTGTACTCCCGTTTTTTTCTGTTCTCCAACTGGTGGATCTGTTGAATTCTCCCCACAGCCTTTATCTTATTATCAGTCAGTGTTCATGTGCTGCTTGTCTGCTTTCTGACCATTGTGTCAAATGGCGACCCCTTCTTCTGTTTCCATAGCAACCCCCACATAGTTTTGAACATAGACTTGGCCCCCACCATCCTGGACATCGCTGGCATGGATGTTCCTCCAGATATGGACGGCAAATCCATCCTCAAGCTTCTGGACACAGACCGCATGATGAACAGGTAAGCAGGTCTCCAGCTGACTTCTCGTGTACACTGACTACAAATAACAATCTTTGTGACTACCTGAATTACTTTATTTTTTAATACTATTAAAGGTTCATGCAGTTGTGTCCTTGGTTACGTCAAAAAAACTGAAGTGAACAGCACAAAATCATTATCAGGATGCACAACATCACTACACTATAAAAGTATAATGTGGGGCTGCAGCTTATGATTATTTTGATAATCAATCAGTTGGCAGATTATTTTTCGGCTAATCGATTAATCTGATAAAATTGTCGGGTATTATTATTTTTTTTACAATTGTTTATTATATCTATATAAAACGGTACATCAGAGTATTATTCAACACAGGCTCACTGTGAAAATGTACCACCGTATACATTTCTGGAAAGCAAAAATGAGGTAATCAGAGCTACATATGGCTGCATTTCATCTTTAAAATGAACGCTATGGGGCAGTATGACACCGCCTACGGCTTCTGTTTCTTTTCGCGCTTGCCATCTGACTGCCTAGCTCTGTGTGGACAGCTTTTCCACTGTTATTAGTTTGCTCATTAGCTCACTATGTACATCGGCGGACTTGAGACACTGAAAGGAGTTCACCGCGATGATGGGTGAAGTTCACCGCGAGTCTGATGAAGAACGGTGCCTGACCGTGTGGAGGAGGGGGGCAAGGTTGGGGTTGTGTCATAAATGAAAGTGAAGAGGGTTGGGGTGTCATGGAAGAAAGTGAAGAGTGGGGCAGCATGGGGTGGGAGTACGTGTGAGGAGGGGGATTGGTAAAATGAGCCCTGGGTTTAGGAAAGGGGGTGATCGAGTCAATCTGTGTTTCTGTAAACACTATTGGTTGGGTTTAGGGTAGGAGGAGGGTGGGTCAGTCGATCACTTAGTCAGTCAGTCCATCATTCGACAGTGGCCTCTGGTGGAATTACTTGAGAACAGCAGGCACTAATGGCACTCACAAGAGAAATTTGACATCTACACTTCAGCTACATGTAGCTCCTGGGACGTATTTTGCACTGTCCAGAAAAGTAGACTGGGGTAAGTATCAATAATGAGCCTGGGTTGGTATTATTTACGATAAAATTATTCTTTAAAACACTGCTAAACTAGTTTTGTACTCCCATTATATTCACAATATGTAATTAGGTCATAAATACGCTGAAAGTATGATATTAGGCAGCGGAATCTGTTGAAATATCAAATTATGAATAATAAATGAACAATAATATATCTTTTTTAAACAGAGGTATAAAACAGAAGAACAGATAAACTGCTCAGTGCACAAACTATCATTCACTGAAAACCACAACATTGACTAATTATTTTCTTAGAAGCACATGCTACTTGCTCTAAGGGTGGTTTTGCACACTTCATTGCACATGCGGCTGTGTATCTTGTCGTTGCTTTTCAACCATGTGTGCAGCCCAGCTAATCTACAGTATAATGGCCTTTGTTGACAACGATTTCCATTATCGATACTTATCAATTTTATCGATTAGTTGTTGCAGCCTTAGCATAATGCACAACACCACAACATTGTAAAACTATCCAACATTATGATGGTGTGAAAAACAGCAGTGCGACTTAACAATAGTACAATGCACAACAGCATGACATCATAACAGAACAATGAACAACTGCATGACATCATGATATACAATGCACAACAGCATTACATTATAGTAGTATGATGCATACAAGCAAGACATCATGATTGAACAAAGCACAACTGCAAGACATCATGATAGTACAATGCACAATAGCATGACATCATGATAGACCAATGCACAACAGCGTGACATCAAGATAGTATGAAGGCATGGCATCATAATAGAGAAATACACATCTGCATGACATCATGATATAACAATGCACAATAGCATGACATCATGATAGACCAATGCACAACAGCATGACATCAAGATAGTATGAAGGCATGGCATCATAATAGAGAAATACACATCTGCATGACATCATGATATAACAATGCACAATAGCATGACATCATGATAGACCAATGCACAACAGCGTGACATCAAGATAGTATGAAGGCATGGCATCATAATAGAGAAATACACATCTGCATGACATCATGATATAACAATGCACAATAGCATGACATCATGATAGACCAATGCACAACAGCATGACATCAAGATAGTATGAAGGCATGGCATCGTAATAGAGAAATACACATCTGCATGACATCATGATATAACAATGCACAATAGCATGACATCATGATAGACCAATGCACAACAGCATGACATCAAGATAGTATGAAAGCATTGCATCATAATAGAGCAATACACATCTGCATGACATCATGATATAACAATGCACAATAGCATGACATCATGATAGTACAATGCATAACACCATGCCATCATGATAGTATGATGCATAACAGCATGACATCATGATAGTACACTGCACAACAGCATGACATCATGATAGCATGATGCATAAAAGCATGACATCATAATAGAACAATACACATCTGCATGGCATCATGAAAGTACAATGCACAACAGCATGACATCATGATAGTACGATGCATAACAGCATGACATCATAATAGAACAATGCACAACAGCATGCCATCATGATAGTACCATGCACAACAGCATGACATCTTGATTGTACCATGCATAACAGCATGACATCATGATAGAACGACATAAAATATCATGACATCATGATAGTATGATGCAGAACTGCATGAAATCACAATAGTATTTTGCACAGAACACCTTGACACCATCATAGCATGATCCTCATATCACACAACATAATCATAGTATCATGCACAACAGCATGACATCACACGTGCTCAACAGCATGATAACATAGTAGTGCAGTAGTACAGTTTAACGTCAAAACTTCATCCTAAGATGAAAATCAAAAGCACAACATCATACAGTACGGCACACATCCACACAACATTCATTCATTCATTCATTTTTCTTCGGCTTAATCAAGGGTCACCACAGCTGAATGAACCGCCAACTATTCCAGCATATGTTTTACACAGCAGATGCCCTTTTATCTCCAACCCAGTACTCGGGTACAAATCAACACGACATCATAATAAAAACGTGTTGCACGTTCCGTGATCACAGTGCAATTAATCATGAAACTAATTTGCATATCTATAGGAGGTGAGAGGAATGACAATAGTGTAATGTAAACCCCAACAGCACATTGCAGTTTCAGCACATTTGGCACCTGGATGATCTAGATTGTGGGGGGTGGTCATTGTTTTCTTTTTCAGTGCAGAATCATCAGCGCAAGCTACTTACCCATATTAACTGATGGGGATGGGTGATATCTTATCATTTGCAATATACTGATAAAAAATTCTCCCCATGAAAAAAAAAAGATTCTCTCTGTGATAATAACCATAAAACCTACATCCTGTCCAATGAATGTGTGCTACAGCAGCATTTGTGCAACAACAAGAAAATAGGAAAAGTAATACTTTTCTCTAAAGGTACAATACTTTTTTTCAGTGCATACATGTTATCCTCATTAATATTGTCATTGAAGCAACTGCCAGAAAATATAATATACAGTAGAGTTTTATAATAATTTTTAGGGTTTTTCACTTTTTATTGGACAATGGAGAGTACAGACAGGAATGCATGAGGAGCAGAGAGAAAGGAAATAACCTCAAATGCTCGAGCTTTTGATCGAACTCAGGTTGCCATGAATGTCAACAAATATGATATAGTTTTAAAGAATCTTTTGGAAATAGGCTTATTTCCCCTTGAGTTCTGCCATTTTTAAATCCATTCAGCTGATTCCGGGTCTGCTAAGAACACTTTTAGCTTAGCTTAGCATGCATCATTGAATCTGATTGGACCGTTTGCCTCTTGCTCAAAATTTTTTAAAAGTGTTTCGATATTATTCCTATTTAAAGTTTGACCCTTCTATGGTTACATCTTGGGAAAAAAAATTTATTGTTTTTGAGTGAGATGTTAGATTCAGTGATTTATGCTAAGCTAAGTAAAAGTGTTACCGTCAGACCCAAAGATCGGCTGAACTCAAAAAGAGTCGATAGTTTTGAAATTTTTTCTATTTAAAGCTTAACTCTTCTATAGTTACATCTTGAAAATTATTGAAATTATTGATTCTTTTTGAGTGAGATGCTAATGGTCTAATCTGATTCAATTATTTATTTTAAGCTATGTAAAAAATGTTTCCCCCAGACTCATACATCGGCTGAACTCAAAAAGAGTAAATAATTTTAATTATTTTCCTGATTAAAACTTGAAAATTCTATAGTTACATCTTGGAAATATTCAAAAATATGAACTCTTTTTGAGTGAGATGCTAATGGTCTAAACCAATTCAGTGATTCGTGCTACGCTAAATTAAAAGTGTTTCCATCAGACCTGGAGATCGACTGAACTCAGAAAAAGGTCAGTCATTTAGATGTTTTCTTTCTATTTAAAGCTTTAAACGTCTATAGTTACATCCTGGAAATTATTGAAATTATTAACTCTTTCTAAGTGAGGTGCTAATGGTCTAATCTGATTCAATGATTTATGCTAAGCTAAATTAAAAGCCAAACCAGCTAAACTCTAGTCGAAGGGAGTTTTTAAAATAATCTCCAGAAAAAAAGGGGTCATTTTAAGTGAATATCACCCATCCCTATTGGCTGATGAATTTGTAATGTTGAGTTTCGGGAGGATAATGACATGTAGCGTTTAGCCTAATGCGGCCAGCAGAGCTGTAGGAACAACACCTCGCCTCTCCTCATTGACATTGAGTGGCAGCAGGTGGCAGTCTGCCAGGCTTCCTACTGGCACAGAAGCTCTCATCACCATGACACCTGCTGAAATCTCATCTCTGCACTCTTCCGCTAGCCTGCGATCTGCTTTTATTTTAGACGAGAGGCAGAGATGCGTATCTCAGCAGGAGAAGGAAAAAAAGATATAAGAGGGACTTTCTGGAAAACTGACTGGCAGGGAGACGTGCAATCAATCACCTCAAACAGACACTAATTTAACAAACACATCTGTACTTTTCATCTGCTGCCATAGGTAAACTGTTCAAGGCTAGCTCTGTGTTTTTGAGATTAAACCAACAACACAAGGAAATCAAAAGCAGAAAATCAATCACTGCTCTTGACATAAGAACCTTTACAGGTTTAATAAGACTAAATGTATGCTTATTTATACAGTGGTGACTATGGCAGGTTTTATTTAATAATTCATTAAATAATCTCTGCTATTAAACAGTCCAGGGGGGTTAATTCTTTAATATGACAATAATAGGTGCAATGGAAGTTTTTTTTTTTTTTTTTTTTAAATACCTAGTACTGGGCAAAAATTAATCATGATTAATTGCATGCAAAATAAAAGTTTGTTTTGACATAACATTTGTGTGTGTATTATTTATTTTAATTTTGTATATGTGATACACATATTTGCATACAGTAGAAACAAAACTATGCAAACCACTTTTGTTACATAGATACAAACACATATATTATGCAAAACATACATTATGTTGTGGATGCTTTTAATTACAGTAATAAAATTTTCTGCACTATTAAAAACCCAATTTAGACCGAGGAAAATTATGATGGCGTCTAAAATATTACTACAATATAATATTAATATAATATTTTAATTATGTTCTCTGGATATGTTCAGTGATTTACTATTTAATCACTGAATCATTACTAAGTCCATCACAAGATGAGCAATTTATTGTAAACTTATTTTTCTATGGATTATTTTGCCATTTCTACTTTATTAATTCAATAATTTAATAATATATTTTTTAATTATGTCCCCACATTGTATACCAGATCAATTAGTTTTCATTTGCAGCCAATTTTAAAAACGTTTGAAAGAGACACCTGAAAATTTTTCAGTTTTTCATTTGTTTTTCTTTTGTTATTTGTTCTATTTAATGGAATTTGAATCTTTCTTGTTTATTTAGACTGTCCTTATATCATGTAAATAATTAAGTTCATAAAAAGGAAACCTAAATATATTGACTTTTTTCATTTTAAAAAGTTAATTTTATTTATTTAAACTTTTAATTGTCAGCTGCTTCATGTTAAGTACCGCATTTTATTTGATATATAGTTCCTAATTTATGGTTTTCTTTAAAGTTGTATACAAATACGCCTACAATTGTACACAAAAATCATGATACTGTCAAGATCACCAGCAATCTAACCCTTATAGATTACAGGAGAACATTTATTATCACCCGTACTACAATCCTGTCACCATAATCATGTCACAAATCCTCTCATGCACCTCTCTCACACCTGTTCTGGTTTAGGTTTGATTGCACACTTACAGCTGGGAGCTGCTCATGGACTATTACTCAGACTATAGACTGATTTCGCGCGGCCGCCATACTTTCACTATATTTAACTTGTCACGATACAAAATTTTGGCACTGAAATAAAAAAATTTAAAAAAACATCAATTTCTCGTTAACATTTAAAGCACTGTTGATGGCGTTCTTAAACAGCGCTGATTTGCCATTGTGTTCATGTGCTCAACAGAAATGACTGTGATTGGCCGTGAAGGTTATCAGTTGACTGCACTTCACTGATGTTTACAGAGTGCAAACACAGACGAGCGATCCGCTGATAAATAAACAGATCTTCACGACTTTAAAACGATCCAATGTCCATCTATCTGTGTTTGCAATCTGTGAAGATCAGTGTACTGATGACCTTCACAGCCAATCACAGTCATTTCTGCTGAGCACTGGTGAATACTACGGTGCGGTGTTTAAGAATGCGCTTAAATGTTAGCGGGAAATTAACTTTTTAAAATTTCGTTCCGAGACAACACTGCAGACACTACAGAGGACTGCAATGTTTTATCGCTCACCGGATTACATAGGCATGAAGCAGGAAAGTCTCTCCACAGTGTTTACCTGCTGCCATGAACTCAAACCTTGAATGAGCCCTTAAAGAGATTGTGATGTTGTTTGATTCCTAATCTGCTTTTAATTGTTTGAATTAAACTGAACTGAATGATATTAAAGTGATGTTTACACCATATCTGCATTTTGAAATCGCGGCAACAACTGGAGGTTTGTAGTCCACAGCATGTTGTTGCAATGTTTACAGTGCTGATCCTATATAGTACTTCAGGGTTTCTTCCCACCGCAGCTTTGCTTTCGGGTTTTAAAATGGCGGCAGCGTGAAGTAAGCATATATAGACTGCTAACCTTTGGTGTACACATAGCTGATACAATTCTTTGTTACACACATTGGTCATATGGTAGTCTGGGTAATAATGAATGTTCTCCAGTGATATTTAAGAGTTAGAGATGCAGATGCAGATCTTTTAAGATAAATTAATAAACACTCAAATAAAAAGTTAGTATGCAAACATGTAAATTGAAAATTTTTCTAATAAAGATATTTCTACTCTAATTGTTTGTTTAAATATATATATATATATTTAAGATAGATACCATGTGACTTCATTGACCTGGCAACAAACGTCTCTTGAATAAAGCCCATGATAACACAAATGTTGTATAGGGCAAAGTATGAAAAACACGCGTTTATTATTTGTGCAATAATGATGCGCCAACAGGAGGAGTCTGAATAGGAGAAAAGGCCAAGCATAGAGAACTCTTAAATCTCCCATAAACTCCTGCCGAGATCAGAGAGTGTGTGTGAGAGCACAAATCGATAGCTCATATCAGCAGAGAAGGTCAGGAGACACACACAGCACTTCTGTTTCCTCACCTCCAGCTATTCATCAGGGACAGCAATAGAGAAAAAAGTAGCACTGTAAATTGAACTCTGGATTTCTGATAAAGCTGTTCACATTCCACAGATTTTCAAACTTTTTGCATTTAAATGAACAATCTCAGGATTTGGTGAGAGAGAAAAATTTCCTGAATAATTTGCTGTTCTAGGTGATCAGCAACAAAGCTGGTAGATCAATATCCATCAGTCTCTACAAATTGCAGGTTCCAGCTCAATAAGAAAGTCAAAGTTTGGCGGGACTCGTTCCTGATGGAGAGAGGGGGATTTTCAGCTCTGGCAAGATACCTCTGGCTCTAGTAGCTTAGCATAGCATACATAATTGAATCTAATTAGACCATTAGCATCTCACTCATATTATTAAAAAAATTATTGATTCGTTTTTCCTCACCTCCAGATTTTCGTCAGGGACTGAACATGGAACATAAGAAGTTACACTCTAAAATGCACTCTGGATTTCTGTTAAAGCTGCTTGCATTCACAGATTTTTTAAACTTTGACATTTAGTTGAACAATTACATGATTTGCTGGGAGACAAGATAAATTTAAGGATAATTTGCTGTTCCGGGTGATTAGCAACAAAGTTGAAAGATCAATATCCATCCATCTCTTCTAATAGCAGCTTCCAGCTTAAGAAGTAAGGCAAAGTGTTGAGGGAGGCTGATTTCTGGATCTGGCAAAAGCACTATTAGCTTACAGTAGCTCAGCATAGATAATTGAATTTGATTACACCTTTAGCATTTTAGTCAAATTATTGAAATTATTGACTTTTTCCTCATCTACTGCTTTTCGTCAGGGACAGTAGATGAAAAAATAAAAAGTAACACTCTAAATTAACCTCTGGATTTCTGTTAAAACTGTTTGCTTTCCTCTGGTTTTCAAACTTGTTGCAATTAGTCACCGTTTAGTAAAACAATCGCGTGATTTGCTGAGAGACCAAAAATTTTTTTAATAATTCACTGTTCCAGGTGATCAGTAACAAAGTTGGTAGATCAATATCCATCCGTCTCTCATAATCGCATACAGGTTCCAGCTTAACAAGAAAGTCAAAATGTGGTGGGACTCGTTCCTGGTGGACAGAGGGTGATTTCCGGCTATGGCAAAAGCACTAATAGCTTAGCTTAGCATACATAATTGAATCTGATTCGACCATTAACATCTCACTCAAATTATTGAATTTATTGACTCTTTTGTTCCTCACCTCCTGCTTTTCATCAGGGACATTAGGTGGAAAATGTGAAAAGTTACGCTCTAAAACGCACTCAGGATTTCTGTTAAAGCTGTTTACATTCCACAGATTTTCAAACTTGTTGCATGTAGTCATCATTTAGTCAAACAATCGCACGGTTTGCTGAGAAATTAAAAAAATTCAGAATAATTTGCTGTTCCAGGTGATCAGCAACAAAGCCTGTAGATCAATATCCATCCATCTCTCCTAATTGCAGGTTCCAGCTCAACAAGAAAGGCAAAGTGTGGAGGGACTCGTTCCTGGTGGAGAGAGGGTGAGTCAGCGCAAATTAAATGTGAAAACAGCCCGGGCGCTTTGGGTTTTTGCAGTGTGAAAGGTCAGCATATGTTTATTCAGATAACAGAAGGCTTTTCTTTTCTACTCTGGTGGCAGGAAACTGCTGCACAAAGTGTTGAATGATGGGAAAGATATGGCTGAGGAGGAGAACTACCTCCCCAAATACCAGCGTGTTAAAGACCTGTGCCAGCGCGCCGAGTACCAGACGCCATGTGAACAGATTGGGCAGGTACAACAACACTGCACACTCCACAATCTGTGTATAGCTTTTTTTTTTTTTTGCCTTTTTTATTTAAACTTTATTTGTCAGTCCGACACACTTTATTGCAGTTTTGTTTTTGTCATGCATTTTTGGATATTAAACCTTTCATGTACATTGTAAAAAATGCAGGGTTCCTCACAATTCAATCAGCTTGTCAATCAATTACTTAACAAATTTAAGTGGATTGAACATAAAACAGGGGTGACGCAGTGGGTAGTGCTGCACCTCACAGCAAGAAGGTCACTGGTTCGGCTGGGGCAGTTGCCATTTCTGTGTGTAGTTTGCATGTTCTCCCAGCATTGCGTGGGTTTCCTCCAGGTGCTCCGGTTTCCCCCACAGTCCAAATGCAGGTACAGGTGAATTGGGTTGGCTAAAATGTCCGTAGTGTATGAGTGTGAATGAACATAAAACATTGAACATAAAAATAATTAAGTTGTGCCCAAAATAATCTCAAGAAATGTCGTTTAAGCTCATTTTACATAAATAGTTTGAGCAAGCTAGAAAATACAACTCTACAGTATAACAAAGTGACTTTTATTGACATTTTAGTAGTTTAAAATTATATAATGTACAAGAAATAATGTATAAAGAAAGAAGACTTATATAAAAGAAAATACTGGCAGTTTATTACAATATTTTTGTATCATGTGCATCACCAACCCAGACATTATAACACTTTAAACTATATAAATGTTAATAAAAGTCACTTTTTCAAACTTTTCAAGGTTAAAAGTTGTAAGAAGAAAGATCAAGGTCCTATAATGCAATTTAAAAGCATAAATAAACTATAAAATTAATTCACAAAATGCGGAAAACTGCCAATAAACATATTTTTTACCATGTAGCTGTTGATGGAATGACCACAGTCAGCTTTTTTTTTAAAGAGCATGAAAAACTAAAAGATACTCTTCAATCTTGACCTGCTTGCTGTAAATCACAGCAATAGTTGAATTGTCCTTTTGTAATATGATTTTGGTGATAGCTACTCTTAAATATTTTGCTTATGCTTATGTAAAATTAGTTGCATGACTAGAGCAGTACTTTATCTGTTGTTAAAAATGTTTTTCCTGTCATTTAAAAAAAAACAGAGGAGAATATAACCTACTCTCTTAAAGTGCCGTCCAGTGTTTAACATTCATCTATTATCAATGCATTCAATGACCATTAAAACTTTGTGACCGACACCAGCAGATGTAAAAATGAAGATCAAATCAAATGAAAGGTCACAACTTGATGCTCTAGTAAAAACTGTTTGATTCTAGTTATTTTTGAGAAGTTGTTACTTATTCATTCATTCATTTTCTTATCAGCTTAGTCCCTTTATTAATCCGGGGTTGCCACAGCGGAATATAGCACTTATATAACTTATATATATAACCAACTTATATAGCACGTTTTTACGCAGCGGATGCCCTTCCAGCCGCAACCCATCTCTGGGAAACATCCATCCACACACACTCATTCACACACACACACACACACACACACACTCATACACTATGGACAATTTAGCCTTCCCAATTCACTTGTACCGCATGTCTTTGGACTCTGGGGGAAACCGGAGCACCCAGAGGAAACCCATGGGAACACAGGGAGAACATGCAAACTCCACACAGAAACGCTGAGGCTCGAACCAGTGACCCAGCGACCTTCTTGCTGTGAGGCGACAGCACTACTTACTGCACCACTACGTCGCCTGTTGTTACTTATTGAAACCGTTTGATTTTTACTTGCAAATGAGGGGTATAAACTTTGTTGCTGACCTCAATATGTCACACCAACTATTTAAATAAGTAAGGTCTCATGTTCAATCGTTTGTGCATAACCTGATAAATATTTAGGATCTCTGCCCTAATGACATCAAAACCAACATTGTGAATCTATCTATCTATCTATCTATCTATCTATCTATCTATCTATCTATCTATCTATCTATCTATCTATCTATCTATCTATCTATCTATCTATCTATCTATCTATCTATCTATCTATCTATCTATCTATCTATCTATCTATCTATCTATCTATCTATCATCTGTCTGTAATATAGAAATAATTTAGGAATTATTAAAACTCATTAATTGCTTTTATCTATATACGTGAAAGTAAACGTATTTGTAAAAATAACAGCAAAAAATATTTAATATTTATACTATGTGGATAATCAATAATTATAAACTGTAAAAAAAATCAAGAAGTTTAAATTAATTACTACTAACCATTTGCAGATATTTCTGGGTCAATTAAAATTCTTTCTTCAAAATATTATAGGAACTAATTATTTAGTTGACTCTAACTTTAAAAATATTATTTAATTGGCTTGTATGTTGATTGGTTTTGAAAATATAGTAAACAATTGTATTTGTTGTAATGTATTCATGCTTAATACAATGCAACTTCTTACTGTAACTTAGCCCATGAAATAATATTAGCTCATCTTACAGATTTTTGTTCTACCAACATTATAATTTACACATTTTTACATTCTAGCCAAGAACTGTAATACTAAAGGTTATTCACTATACCCCAGTTTCAGAAACCAGGCTTAAAGCCTTAAAGTCTTAAATGTTCTGTATGTAAGTTTTTGACTAAAGCATGGTACATGACAAGATTTGCTATGATAAGCAATTGTTCTGTTTGCATCAGACAAAACACAATATACATTTAAATACAGCTATTCAGAGGCACAGAATAGTACACACTGCACTCCGACAAAATGTTAAAGTGTATACTCTAATTACAACATTTTAAACTTCTTTAACATTATTGAATGTACTTGCTGAATCACTGATATGTGTTGGCTTGCACAGTCACAGTTCTAAAGTTCAATTCCAAATGGTTTATTTTATTTTCAAGATCTGATACTCTATCTTTCTGCTGCTCTTTTAGTAGTATGGCAATGAATGTGATGTAAAACATCATTCAAACTCACATTATTATTATTTAACACTGAATAAAGCACATGCAATGTACCTGAGATGATCATTATCAGTTTTCTGTTATTCAGCTGCAAGAAATAGAAGATTACAGGTGTTGGTAAGGACAAAAACTCCATTTAATGTGGAAAATATTTCTTCTATCGTTTTGTTTTTATTTAGAACACAATTTAAAATCAGCATTTGTTGGTGTCATTAATCTGGCAATCTGGGCAATCTGCGCTTGCATGTGTTTTGAACCAGGGGTGCAATACCTAGTTCAATCATTTTGTGTCACTTTGTGTTTGGGTCAAATCTGACCAATTTACAACTTAAATCACTCATAAATATTGTGTTTTATATCTGATTGCCTCAAGGCCTCTAAGATATCCTAGGAAATGAATGAGTATTCAGACTATATTCATTCATTAAACAAAAAACATCCCCACACACACCACCCCAACTCACTTATTGTTATGTGAATCCATCTAAGTGTGTCATTCTTTCTTTTCTTATTTTATTTATTTATTTTTTTTATGTATTAATTCTCTCTATCTGGAAAGAAGCACAGAAAAGGAATCTTTCTTCCTTTCTTTCTATCTTTATTTATTTATTTATGTATTTTCCTTCTGCCAATCTTGCAGGAGCACCTTTAGCTTAGCTTAGCAACAATTATTTTATTATATTAGACCGTTATTATCTCGATCACCAATGACCAAAGTATAACTGGTGCAAGTTTTGTGTCCATGCTTACCAAATATACCCTCAGTTACTATTCCCTATATTAGTACACTCGAAAAACTGAAAATTCGATCACTCAGAACACAGGAAAGGAGAGCATTTTGTTTGTGCTTTGCTGGTTGATAAATCATTTAGATGGATTAAAATTTCAATTTTTTTTGGTCAGTCCCTGTGGTAGATATTTTAGTGAGCTGTCTATTAGTAATGAAACAAAGTATTTTGAGTTCTGTCATCTATTGTTCATTTTGTAAAATATTTTCAGTGCCTATTTTTATTTTCATTGCAGTCATTTTATGTCTAATTCAGTAAATTCACTACTTTGAGACATTGTTCACAGCTAACGAATGTTGAATAAAAATTTGGTGGAGAAAAAGGATTTTTGTGCTAATATAAGAGCAGTTAAAACAGACCGGTCAATTTTGACCGGGAACACTAAAGTAAGATGCAGGATGTGAACACAACAGGTGGGTTAACTCAAACAATGTGAAATGACATAAACAAAACAAAAAATACATCAGTGACATAGTATAGTTTGAAGATACACACCAGCATTGTGTTTTTCTTCTTAATAACATAATCATTGACGGCCTAGTTCTGCCTTAAGCTAAGCCTATTTGTCAAGCCGGCCATTGAGTTTAGACCCCCACAAATCTAAAAGTGTGTTTGTGTGTGTGTGTGTGTGTGTGTGTGTGTGTGTGTGTGTGTGTGTGTGTGTGTGTGTGTGTGTGTGTGTGTGTGTGTGCGTGCGTGCGTGCGTGCGTGCGTGCGTGCGTGCGTGTGTGTGCGTGCGTGTGCGTGTGTGTGTGTGTGTGTGTGTGTGTGAGGTGCCTTATAAAGCAGAAGTGAGAAAAGAGACAATTCTGAGCTGTCAGATCAGACACCTTAAATTTCATGCTCTCACTTTCACTCTAACAAGACTGGCCCACCGTAGTCCTCCAGAGACCTGCATTATCTGTCCGCTCCATCCACTTCTCTTCTCTCCGTCTCGTTTGCTTTTTCATGTCAGGCTGTATTCCTCCATCTGCTCTGCTCTGCTGCTTTGATCAAGGAGTCTGTCTTTGTGCACCTTCACACCTTTGCAACGCAGAAAAATTCACATTTTTAAACTGAGAAATCGCCTTGTCTCTGTGAAAACATGTACATATTTTATTTAAATTATGCCCAGATGTAAAAATAAATAAATAAATAAGCATTTGGTGTACCTAGAATGTGTTTTTAAACTTTCCGCTCAATATAATCCACAGGTCATTTGTTATAGCTTGCAGAATTCCACAATTGAAGCACTTAATCAGTAGAAAAAGACCAAATTTATGTGATTTTACTTCTTTAAAGCTCCCATGAAGTGCATTTTGAAATGTCCATTTGTATTTGATGTTTGACGTAATCTTAATTGAAACAGGAAGAGAGGTCTGGACATACGGTTTTTACTAAAAGGGATAGAGCTGTGGCTGGAATTTGAGAATTCTTGAGAATATGAGAATTATTTATATAGTTTACTAAATTACCCATTTATAGATTTTTTTATGTCCACTCTAACCCTCACAGTAATCTAAAAACAGTAATTATAGCGAGAATTATTTATATTGTTTATTAAATTATTCATTAAATTGTGTTTCATTGATGTCTACTTCAACCCCAACCCTCACAGTGATGTAAAAACAGTAAAAATAATGATTATTATTTATATAATTTATTAAATTACCCATTTATTGTCTTATATTAACGTCTACCCCAACTCCAACCCTCACAGTAATATAAAAACAGTAATAATTATGAGAATTATTTATATTGTTTATTATATTATCCATTAAATTCTGATTTAATATTGTCTACCCCTACACCAACCCTAAACCTACCCCTCACAGTAATGTAAAATTACTGTGTCACAAAAATTATTCTATAATGATGTGAATATTTACAGCTGTATCCCATCTAGACTTTATCATATAGACAGTAGAGTAACTCCTCCGATTTTCCCAGCCAGTAGTGTTTTGTGTGTATCCTAAAATCAACCAATTGTGTTTTGTTTATGTTCCAAAATCAACGAGGAGAGAAGAGAAGTGGATTGAGCGGACAGATAATGCAGGTCTCAAAGTTAATCAACAGTGTTTTGTTTGTATCCCAAAATCAACCAATAGTGTTTTTTATATATCCCAAAATCAATCAATAGTGTTTTGTATTTATCCCAAAATCAACAATAGTGCTTCGTTTGTATCCCAAAGTCAAAATATAGTGTTTTGGTTGTATCACAAAATTAACCAATAGTGTTTCGTTTGTATCCCAAAATTAACCAACAGTGTTTCATTTGTATTAAAAAATCAACCAATAGTGTTTTGTTTGTATCCCAAATTCAACCAATAGTGTTTTGTTTGTATCCCAAAATCAACCAATAGTGTTTCGTTTGTATTACAAAATCAACGAGAAGGAGAGAAGAGAAGGGGATAGAGCGGACAAATAAAGCAGGTCTCAAAGTTGAACAACAGTGTTTTATTTGTATCCCAAAATCAACTAATAGTGTTGTGTTTATATTCCAAAATCAACCAATAGTGTTTCGTTTGTATTAAAAATAGACCAATAGTGTTTTGTTTTTATCACAAAATCAAGCAATAGTGTTTCGTTTGTATCACAAAATCATCCAACATCGTTTATAGCTTTGTGTTTGTTATAAGCCTTTAACTAAGTCTTTACTGAGTCTGACTCCCCATTCTCCACTTTAACGTACAATTTTCTGCATAATTGAAATGGCTTTTATATGTTTTTTAGTTCATATCAACTCCGAACACTCAAAAAATATTATCCGCTCTGTGCTGCTTCTTTCTGGGCTGACGCCGAGTTAGGGCTAATATTTACTTTATTCACCCCATAGGAGATTGTATTCACACTGTTTGTATCCCTATGTAGCACTATTCACCAAATACTGTAAAAACAATAATTTTGAATAGTTCCCTGTATATGCTGACTTTGTATCTTTGTGTGCTGTGTTTTTTCACCCTTGGGGCTTACCCTAGAAAGGTGCTGCACACCATTGACTACAGTTTATTATTTTCTTACATTTGCAAGCATTCAGGCAAACCCTCTATTCAAACATGTGAATAAATGACCAGTTTCAGCAGCCGCATCTTGAAGTGGGCGGGGCATGTTAAATACTAGAGAGCACTTGAATGGTCAGAAGATTTGATGAGAAACTGAAGTATGAGGTTGATTAATTTTGCCAGAAGTGACAAACCCACACTGTTAAACAATTCTGGGCTCCACATAACCAATTTGTGTTGGGACAACATGAAAAAATTAAGTTAACTTATTAGTTTTTATTAATTTAAGTTGATTGAACTTAAAACAATTAAGTTGTCCTTCAAAAGATCAAATAATTGTGTTGTAACAAGCTGAAGTCTTTTTTAATGTAAAGCTTCAGAATTTTATATCTTCTAAAAACAAATTTTGACATTGTTTTGAATCACACTAGATTATACTGTAGACAATCTCAATGGTGCGTTCACACTAGATGTGAATGAAGTGTCAAGTGCGAGTGATTTACGTTTACAAGTTCAAATTCAAAGTTGAGAATAGTCGCCCTGTGGCACTATTTATGCAAATGAGGCAGCGCAAATGACGAGATTCTCGTGAATTGAGCTCTTACGTGTTTGACATGCTTAACAAGCATATCACTTGAGTTGAAAAATCTGAACTTTCACAGACATTCGCGTCGCGTTAACCAATCAGGAGCTTGCTCTGGTAGAGGTGTGAGGTGTGATTATGATGTAGTACTTTGTTGTTAGTGTTCTGAGTGGAAATCTTCAAAAGCACTGCTGAAAGCCTTCATCATTCAGGTATAGTTTATGGAGGAGTTGATGAACTCACAGAGCTGGGTGCACCTCTGAACGGATAGAGGACTCAGATACGGCGACTTATAAATCTACAATGTTTTTCAGCCTTCATAAAGCACATAAACACAGCTACTTAGCCATTTAGCAACAAAGCTAGAGCCACCGGGCAGAGAGAAGCCCTGTCCATAATGTGAATCTGTGTCTATTGTGAAGTGAATTTGATGCGCGAATGAAGCAAGTAAACTCGCCATGTTTACACTGTGAGGCTTAGTGCTCAACTCTGATTTTTTTCCTCACATCTTTTTTGAATGGCTGTTCTCTTATAAATGTGGCCAATATCAGATTGTAGTGTGAACAGATCATGGTCCTATAAGTACCTTAAAGAGAGCACAAAATATCTATGCACACAATGTGTATACTGCATAAGTAAACTTTTTAAGTTCAATCCACTTAAAATGGTAAATATAAATAAGTTAACTCAAGCCCTTATAGTTGAACACCAACACAATTAGATTGTGTGTAACTCAGCATTTGTTACAGTGTATGCTAAATTTCTAATAATAAGGTTTAGCCTTAAAAATGATCTGCACAGGTAAATCCTTTATTATTATAAATACTCTAATATGTACTGATATGTAGAACGAGTTTAACGAAAGGTGTATTTCTGTCTAACTCATGTTCCTCATTAACATGGCTTTTAACGAGGTGGGTTTGTGATAATTACAGCTGAGTAAGAATGCCGGCATGAGGCAGGGGTTGATTTTCACCCTTTGCTTCCGGTGTATGCGCACACTCATGCTCATGACGGGGAAAAGCTAATGGGTGATGATGGTGTCAAAACTATTGTGTTGGCAAGCAGACGCTGTCAAACACAGTTCAGTCAAAGAGAAATGAGCTATAAGAATATTATGATGATTAGGATGTTTCGCCTCGAGTCGTGCCAAAACAGCTGTCTATTAATTGAAAAAAATTAATAGCAAATGCTATAGGAACCTGCATGACGATTGTTAAGGGATTTCTGTGCTATTTAAGACATTTATTAAGGTGTTTCTTTAAAAATAAAATATAGCTTTGTATCACCATGGTGCATATAATGCATTTGTTACACTTGTCTTGTAATAATAATTATTATTATTATTTATTTATATATATATATTTTATTCATTCATTTATTTATTTATTTATTTATTTATTTATTTATTTATTTATTTATATTTTTATGTGATTTATTTATTTATAATACCATAATACTGCATGGTTCATCATCTATCTATCTATCAATCAATCAATCAATCAATCAATCAATCAATCAATCAGTCAGTCAGTCAGTCAGTCAGTCAGTCAGTCAGTCAGTCTGTCTGTCTGTCTGTCTGTCTGTCTGTCTGTCTGTCTGTCTGTCTATCTATCTATCTATCTATCTATCATCTTAATCATAATCATTTATCCACAATCTTTATAATCATCCATCAATGCATTTATAATCATAATCATAATCATCCACCCACTGATAATCATAATAATAATATTTATTATAATCCATCCATCCAAAATCATAATCATCCATCCATCTATCCATCCATCCATCCATAATCATAATCATCCATCTATCCATCCATACATCCATAATCATAATCATCCGTTCATTCATCAATAATCATAATCATCCATCTTAGTCATAATCATAATTATAATTATAATCATAATAAACAGTCGCTGTATTTGTATTCATTATTAATTTTGTTTTTTAAATAATCCCTAAGTACTTAGTGATTCAAATTGTTTTCTTTTTTACAGACATCCCAATAGATAAATAAATTAATTAAGTGATAAAACAATTATAATTATTATCTTATTATTATTTTGATATTCTTATTATAATTATATATAGAGGATAAGCAGAACTTGAATTTCCATGGCTACCGTTGCATTTTATGTGATTGTAGTATCAGTGTGTGGATCATTTTTCAGAGTGAACATGTGTCTGTTGTGTGTGTGTGTGTGCGTGCGTGTGTGTCCAGAAGTGGCAGTGTGTTGAAGATGCCACAGGGAAGCTGAGGTTGTCTAAATGTAAAGGCATGTCCAGTCTGAGCGCAGTGCAGAAGCCGTCCGTCTCCAGCATCAAATCCCAGCTTTACCTGCAGAGCATCAGCACTCCTGATGTCAGTCTTAATTCAGAGCCGCAAGAATGCAACTGCCAGCCCAAGAGTTACAGACTGAGCACTTACTCCAAGAGCAAACTCTTCTCCAAAAAGAGTGAGTACAGCTACAAGCACACTGCAACAAGTCCTGCATTCACAGCATTTATTATGTGAGTCTGTGCTGCCATCTAGTGGAGGAAGCATGTATTATTATATGCTTGATCTGTTGCTGTATTCATTTATTTATTTATTTATTCATTCATTTTCTTTTCGGCTTAGTCCCTTTATTAATCTGGGGTCGCCACAGCAAAATGATCCGCCAACTTATACAGCATATATTTTACGCAGCGGATGCCATTTCAGCCGCAACCCATCACTAAGAAATCTATACACACTTATTCACACACACAGTCATTTTACCCTCCCCAATTCACCTGTACCACATCTTTGGACTGTGGGGGAAACCTGAGCACCCGGAGGAATCCGACGCGAACACAGGGAGAACATGCAAACTCCACACAGAAAAGCAAACTGACCCAGCCGAGGCTCGAACCAGCGACCTTCTTGCTGTGAGGCAAATGCTACCCATTGCGCCACTGTGTCATTCATTAAAATTTAGTCTTCATTTAAAATTTATTCCATAATTATTATCGCAATTAGTTCTTTCTTTTACATTTTTATTTAAATTATATTGCATATTTTGTGATATTAGTTCTAAATCTAGCTTATACTAAGTTCTATTCATTATTATAGTTCATAATTTTGTTCAGTTGATTTGAAAATATTGTATTGCATTCATATTCACTCTTTATAACAGATCAGATTTATTGATTAGATTTTAACATTTAAGATTTATTTTGTATAGAAAGTATAGTGTGTTAATTATATTTAAATACATTATTATTATTATTATTATTATTATTATTATTATTATTATTATTATTATTATTATTATTATTATTATTATTATTATTATTATTATTAAAATATATAAATACAGGTATTACCTTTTAAAAAATATAAAACCTTTTCACAGTAATAAACATTTTTAATTATGTTTACAATAGTACAATAATAATACTAATACTACAAATAACAATAATAATAATAACTGTTGTACAGTAATGTACTGTTATTACATAACTGGAATAATGATGAATGCATTTTAAATGACTTGTTATATAATATATTTTGGATAATTCTGCATAATAGTTCGTCACCTTAGAATGATAATGTTGTATCTGACATTTTTGTCAAAATTAAATTATTGACATATTCATTTTAAATGAAAACTTATTTACTTTATGGGATGCTTTTTTTAAGTTGCTTACATTTTAAGACTTTTTAATTAAAAAAAAAAAAAAAAAACGTCACACACAAACTGTTTTGCTATATGGAATGCAAAAACTTTGAAGCTCAATATCTCAAAATCATTCAGAACACAGATAGAACCTTAAAATTCCAAGGTGACGAATTATGTATACACATTATTAATTTTTAGAAAGATTTTCAGAAGAGTTTCTTGCTCACAGATGCTACATTTACATTGTGAAAAATAAAATAACCATGTTTGTAGGAAACAAGAACTGTTTAATCTTTATTAGTCATCTAATTTATCTCAATTACTTTTTTCTTTTCACATTTATAATACAGTATATAAAAAAACTATAAATAAACAAATTATATAGTATTTTAACGTTTTTCATATGCAATAAAGTATCATTTTAAAAATAAATAAGATAATTATTGTTCAAAACATACAATATAGTATTCAAAATTATTTTTGAATTTTGTATATATGTTTGTTTAATTGTTATTAATTCAAATCCAATATACTGTTTTATTCTATAGTATGTATAGTATTATATAATTTAATATTGTATAATATTATAATATACTGTAATATAATATTGTATATTTCCCAGAGATAAGTTGCGGCTTGAAGAGCATCCGCTGGGTAAAAACGTGCTGGATAAGTTGGCGGTTCATTCCGCTGTGGCAACCCCAAGTTAATAAAGGGACTAAGCCAAAAAGAAAATGAATGAATAAATAATGTTGTGTATATATATGTATTTTTTTTTGTATACTATGCAAAAATGCTTGTTAATAAAATATTTGTATAAAAAGTTTTTCAAAAAATTTTAAAAAGTTAATTGCATCCAAAATAAAAGTTTGTTTTGACATAATACAAATGTGAGTATTATATATCTGTTATGTAAATGTTACACACATATACATAGAAACAAAGCTATTTTGTTACATAGATGTTATAATTTATATGTAACTTTTATAATTTACATATATTTTTCATCTAAATTTAATAAAATAAAAATTTTCTAAAATATATGCAAATATGTGCATAGTGTATTTAAATATACAGTATAATAAAAACACACTTAAAAGACCTCAAAACAAACTTTTATTTTGCATGCGATTCATTACTTATTGTTTATAATTCATTTTTGCCCAGCACTATTAAAAATACATGTTTAGAGCAAATAGTTTTTACAAGCTGTACCAAAACATGTCATTTGCTCTTTAGTATCTTTATTTTAATGTTCTGATAAAATGAAGCATTGTGTTTGATTGCAGAGATGAAGTCTCTAAAGAGCTTCTCCAGGAACCGTTTCGCTCGAGCCCTGTCCATGGAGACTGGAGGAGATCTATATGCGGTGGATCTGGACAATGAGCACAGGAACCTCAGTCTGAGGCACAGCACTGCGGATGAGGATGAGGAGTTCAGTGGGGCAGAGCCCACCACCATCAGCCAAAGCAACAGTCTGAGTGTGCCCTCCTCCATCAAAGTCACTCACAGGTTGGTAGAACACACACGTATAGGCCAGGGGCAGATTTAACCAATAGGCAAAATGAGGGAAGGTAGGGCCTTAAGAAATTATGGGGCTTTTAATAAATACCTAGAAGTATAAATTATACCTACAGTATAACATTGGTTTCTAGAATATTTTGTATGGTGAGGGTCTAACAAATGTTATCATTATATATACGCAAATTTGTCTTATACCCATCATGAAGCAGTCTGGCAGTCAAATAAGGTAAAGATTTGTTTTCATTATTTTCAATTTATTTATTATTTTAGTTGTGAATTTATTTTAAGAAAACATAATAATTAAAATCTAGATATTGGATTATGATAAAACATAGAAAAGAAGATAAATAAATATATACATATACAGTTAAAGTCAGAATTATTAGCCCCCCTGAATTATTAGCCCCATTGTTTATTTTTCCACAATTTTTGTTTAACGGAGAGAAGATTTATTCAACACATTTCTAAACATAACAGTTTTGATAACTCATTTCTAATAACTGATTTATTTTATCTTTGCCATGATGACAGCAAATATTATTTGACTAGATATTTTTCAAGACACTTCTATACAGTTAAAAGTGACATTAACTAACTATTAATTTACGTAGGATAATTAGGTTGACTAGGCAGGTTAAGGTAATTAGGCAAGTTATTGTATACTGATGGTTTGTTCTGTAGACTATCCATAAAAAAATATATAGCTTAAAGGGGCTAATAATTTTGACCTTAAAAAGGTTCAAAATAAATTAAAAACAACTTTTATTCTAGCAAAAATAAAGCAAATAAGACTTTCTCCAGAAGAAAAAATATTATCATACGTACTGTGAAAATTTCCTTGCTCTGTTCAACATCATTTGGGAAATATTTCAAAAAAGAAAAGAAGTCAAGGGGGGCTAATAATTCTGATTTCAGCTATATATATATATATATATATATATATATATATATATATATATATATATATATATATATATATATATATATATATATATATATATATATATATAAGCACAATAAAAATGTAAGCACAGTACAACCAAATAAATGAAGCGAACTCAAACCAACTAAGTACTGTTAAACCCAACAAGTTAAGGGAACTCAAAACATTTCAGAAAACCGATTGCCACAAACCATATGAGTTAAAAAAAAAAAAAAAAAAACTAATCTATGTGAGTACTATGAACTTTTAAGTTGAAGTAATTAGGTATTTAGTTAACTCATTACCTTCAACACATGGTTCAAAACTCTTTTAAAATGAGTAGAATTAAATTAAATAATTCAGTAAATTTTGAGTTAACTACACTCATTTCGATAGATAAAGTTGACTGTTTTTTTATATATATATATATATATATATATATATATATATATATATATATATATATATATATATATATACACACACACACACACACACACACACACATACACACATATATATATATATATATATGTGTGTGTGTGTGTGTGTGTGTGTGTGTGTGTGTGTGTGTGATAAATATATAATGATTAACATTATTATTATTATTGTTATAATTCTTATTATTATTAATATTAAAAGTACAAAGAGGGCATTTTAAGACTGTTTGGACCCCATGGCTGGAATATTTGCATGTTTGAAGGGTAGAGTCGGTGTGCAGTATAAGTATTACTATTTATAAATGATGTGGAGTCTTTTAAATTTAAGTGGTGTTAAATTATTATCAGCGCTGTAATTGAGGATGAACACATTTGTTCGATTTTGAAAATGTTTGTAGGTGATACAATAATTTTGTAATGCTGAATATTTTTAAATTAAATTTTGTGCAAAAATCTAAAATAATTCTGTGTGTGTGTGTGTGTGTGTGTGTGTGTGTGTGTGTGTGTGTGTGTGTGTGTGTGTGTGTGTGTGTGTGTGTGTGTGTGTGTGTGTGTGTGTGTGTGTGTGTGTTTCAGATGCTCCATTCTGGCCAATGAAACAGTCAAGTGTGACGTGGGTCTCTACAAATCACTGCAGGCCTGGAAAGACCACAAGCTGCACATCGACCATGAAGTATTACACACATCTAGAGATGCCAAAGATTAATCGATCATTATTACTTTGTTGATAAACCTTTAAAATGAGAGTCTGTCTTTCAGGCTCTCTCAATGTCTACATTAAAAGATCCAAATCTAAATTTTTATTGAGGTCAAAGGTCTGTTATGTAATTAATATTACATAACTTGTTTTTAAAAAAGACCCATAACATGCATCACAAGTCAACAATATTTACTGTAATCAACATTTGAAGTGGATCATCACCTTTCAGCAAAGTTGCCCAAAAACTATTAAACACTATGGTTTGGGACAACTTTGAAAACTGTGTTGACTACTGTATTTTTCTTTAAATAAAGTCGTCACCTTAGAATTATAAGGGTCTTTCTGACATTTTTGTCAAAATTGAGTTATTGACATATTCTTATTAAAGGACAACTTATTTACATTATGGGATGTTTTTTTATAAGTTGTTTACATTTAAGCACATTAAAGGACAATATCTCAAAATCATTTAGAACGCAGATAGAACCTTATAATTCCAAGGTGACGAAATGGTATTTGCATTCAAAAAACATTAAATACAATTTAAGTGTTGCAAAATAACTGACATAAGTGCATTTTTTGTACAAAACGCAACAAAAGGTAGGCCCAATAGTATCAAGATGCAACCATGATGATGCAAGCTAAGATTGCATATGTCAGGGATGCAATATCAGACACATTGCACTCAATGTAGCTAGTGACGTCACTGTGAGGGGTAGGAGGGGTAGGAGTGGACATTAAAAAGCATTTTATGCAGGCCAACTGCACCAGGTCTGCATCCAGACCTCTGTCTAAAAAAAGTGAAAAATACAAAAGGTGTGTAATGAAAGCTTTAGGTGTTGTTTTGCGGTCCTTATGTCTGTATTTTGTGGATACTTCCATTAAAAATGTACGTCTTTCATTTCATAGTGACGTTTCACATTTCCACTCTAACAACTATAATTTTCTCATTATAAATCAAGCAGAATGACATTGGGCTGGCTTGGAGTCCAGACTTTGAGAAGCCCTGCTGCCATTAAAGGATTAGTTCACTAATTAGTTCACTCGCTTGTCATTAAAAATGTTAATTATTTTTTTTTTTTTTTGATCAAAGTTATTGTTTTTAAATGATCAAATATCTTATTTGAGTGCTAAACCTAGTGTGAACGTAGCCTTGTATTTCTTATTTACTGATGCAGGTTTCTTTTCTAGATCGAGACCCTCCAAACCAAGATTAAAAACCTGCGTGAAGTCAGGGGTCACCTGAAAAAGGCGCGACCTGAAGAATGTGACTGCAACAAATACTAGTGAGTGTGGCACCTGTCAATCATCTCCTACTTGTGCAATTTATTAATATTATGTGACTTATTAAACTTGATTTGATTATATTGTGTAAATTAAGTCAATTTTGTTGAGTTTATTTAATGAAAAAAGCATAAATATAAAAAAACACATTATATTTTGCATTATTGATTTTTTATAATATTACAATTTATTGCATATGATTTAAATGATTGTTTTGATCCAAGTTTAGTGTTCGACAGATTTTATTTTTCTTCTCTTTTAGTTACAAATCCAAGTACAAGAGTAAGCTGAGGAAATACAAAACAGGAAATGTCCATCCTTTCAGGTGTGTGTGTGTGTGCGTGACTGCGTGTGTGCGTGCGTGCGTGCGTGCGTGCGTGCGTGTGTGTGTGTGTGTGTGTGTGTGTCTGTGTGTGTGTGTTTGTGCGTGTTGTGTGACATACCAGGTCACAAATCTGAATTTGTACATAGGTATGACATAGATATTACAAGAAGTTGTTGAAAAATGACCTTGCTGGTATCCTCATTTCTCCAAAAAGCTTATAAATCACACAGAATGAGTTTTTTCATGAAGTAAAGCTGTACAGTTTCCTGTGAGGGTTGAGCTTAGGGGTAGGGTGGGGTTTAGAGCAATAGAAAATACAGTTTGTTTAGTATAAACACAATGGAAACCTATGTAACATCCCCACAATTCACAAAAACAATCGTGTGTGTGTGTGTGTGTGTGTGTGTGTGTGTGTGTGTGTGTGTGTGCGCGGTCATGGTTTTGATTATTCTCTTTGTGTCTGTAGAAAAGGACAGGAGAAGGATAAGAAGGCATGGATGATGCTGGAGCAGAAGCGCAGGAAGAAGCTGAGGAAGCTGTTGAAGCGTCTGCGTAACAATGACACCTGCAGCATGCCCGGCCTCACCTGCTTCACACATGACAACCAGCACTGGCAGACTGCTCCATTCTGGACACGTGAGACACACACCACATCTATATATATGTATAGCCATGAGTTAAATGATTGGCACCCTTGGTAATATACAGTATATATACTTAGATACAGTAAGTGAAGAAGATTGTGATATCGGTTATTCAGGAAATTTGCAAAAATTTGACCTTTCACTGAAATAAAACTATTAAAATCCATGCTGAAAGAAAGAGTAGAAAGTGTTGTACATTTTGCAGTAGTTTTAATGAGCTATTGTATTGGTTTAAATGGAAACTGTAGTTACTTTGTAATACTACTGCTCAATGTTTGCTTTCTATAGACCATTTTGAGGGATGTAAACAAAAACAATGATCCCATCCAGAGTTTGGTGTAACGCGTTACTGTGGAATTGTATTCTAATTACATTTTTGAGGAATGCAGTAATGTAATGAATTACATTTTACATTTGTGTAATTTGATTACAGTTACTAAAGTCAATGTAATTGTGTTACCTTACAAATGTATTATTTAGAAGAAGAAAATGCTTCTTTTAAATCAAGTTTTCCGTCACAACATCAGTTAATAAGCACTTTTAAATAGTTGGAGAATGTCAGCTGAAATAGCTGCTGTCGAGAGTGGCTGCTTCTTCAAGTGGTAATACAAAAATTACTTTGATTTCATTGAGCGTAAAAACAAAAACATTGTTGTGAAATTTAGTCTATGTCCAGTCCCTAAAGAACTTTCGACTGCTTTTCACTCGACTAGCAACTTTTTCAAGCATTTGAACAGAAAGCATTCTAAGACAATACTTGTCACCAAGGACACCGGCGCCCAAAAACCCAACGGCCCAACTCCCAAATCAAACTGGATTTTTGTGCAGGATCGGGAGTGAAGGTATCTTCTGAATGTGAAGAGAAGTGTAGCTGCCTATGAGGCCGTTCACATATCATGTCTTTTCGCACACATATTGCGTGCACTCACATTTTCCAGGCGCACAAGTTGAAAACCTCATGTCGCGTGACAAGAACTGACCAATCAGTTTCATACTTTGTAAGGCATATACACAATTTGGTAGACTAATTACCTCAGACAAACACAGAACGCCCACACACTGCTTATGCATCATGGATGTCAGTAGTTACAGGTATCCAGTTTTCTCCACGTCCTTCTTTTGTATTAAAAAAAAAACTGGTTTGGAACAAGTGAATGATAAGAGAATTTTAAGTTTTGGGTAAACTAACTCTTTAGCTCTTTTGAATATGTCAAGCTGCTGTGATCAACCAATTGTAATGTTTTTTCAGTAAATATAAAATTAACGAAAGAGCTGCAGTATATTTTGTGTTTTTATAGGTATATTTTATATGTTTTCAAAGTAACTTCAAAGTAAAGTAATTAGTAATCTGATTAGTTTTTACATTGTGTAATTAGTATTGTAATCAGATTACAATTTGACAGTAATAAATAGTAATTTGTTGTTATAATTTTTATAGATTCCGAGAATCCAAAGAGTCACATATTGATAGCTATGATATAGTTATAATAGCTGTTTTAACATTAAATTATGATTGAATTGCCTCTTGTTACAGTTATGAAATAGTTTATTGTCAAGAAGGAAATGTTCAATAGGTTAATGACTTGACCACATTGAAATGGTCTAGTGGTGCCAATATATTCGAATGCAGAGTTTCTGCAGGGTCTTAAAAAGCCTTGAAATGGCCAATACCCAATCTCCTATAATCCATCTCAATTTATTTTATTTTAATTTAACAATTTATTTAATTTTCAATGTTTTTTATATTTAGGTTTTTGCGTTTCATTTCAAAAAGATGCAATTCACTACAGCTGTTAGACATTTTACAGCAAATTCTTCAAATTAAATTCCCTAATCAGGGAAAGAAAACTAAAGCAACACATCCTTTTACACGATCTTCCAATAATGCAAAAATTATTTACAGAAGTAACTGGGCCATTAGAAAAACTTCTAAAAACTTCTTAGTGTTTAGCCCTTTATAAGTCTAAAATTTTATTCATAATGGTCTTAAAAGGGTCTTTAGAAGTTAAATTTGATTTGAAGAAACCTGCAGAAACCCTGTAATGGAATATATACCAAAACACATTAACATGCAATAACACTTATTGCTATAAATAGTTCCATTTTGATGATTTTAAGATTTTTAATTGTATTTGTAGTTTAAAACATTCCAATAAAGACATTATTTAATCTACAAATACCATTAAAAACATCAAAATTTAACAATTGCCAAAGATCTTGAGCAAAAAACACACAAATTAAGATTTCCATTTTAAATGTTTTTTTTTTCAATGAAAGGTTAGATTTCGGTTTTATTTTCTTATGTAAGATAAAGAGGATAAATGATACACATTTAGTGTATCACAGAGCACAGAGTGCTGATCATTTGCTCTATTACTGTCTATGTCTCTCTGCGATCTATATATCTGTCAATATATGTGAGCGTCTGTTATGCTTGTTTTGCAGTGGGGCCATTTTGTGCATGCACTAGTGCCAATAACAACACCTACTGGTGCATGAGGACCATTAATGAGACGCACAACTTTCTCTTCTGCGAGTTTGCCACTGGCTTTCTGGAGTACTTTGACATCAACACAGATCCATATCAGGTCAGTGGTCAAATATAAAGACAGCATGAAAACACTGCTGAAGATTCTTTAATAAGCCACTTTAATTAGCTGTTTTCTGTGAATGCACAGTGCTTCCTTATTCATAACGAACTGTAAGTGAATAAGTCTTTAAAGAAGAGCATTATAGTCATGTCTAACAGGACCATGGTGCTACTTAAATAAACATAATCATAAATATGAGCAGGTGACTCAGTGGCGCAGTAGGTAGTGCTGTCGCCTCTCACAGCAAGAAGGTCGATGGTTCGAGCCTCGGCTGGGTCAGTTGCCATTTCTGTGCGGAGTTTGCATGTTCTTGCCACGTTTGCAAGGGTTTCCTCCAGGTTCTACGGTTTCCGCCACAAATCTAAAGACATGCACTACAGGTTAATTGGGTATGCTAAAATTGTCCTTGTATGTATGTGAATACGTGTGTTTGGGTTTCCCAGTGATGGGTTGCAGTTGGAAGGGCATCCGCTGCATAAAACAGATACTGGATAAGTTGGCGGTTCATTCTGCTTTGGCGACCCCAGTTTAATAAAAGGATTAAGCAGAAAAGAAAATTAATGAATAAATACGAACACAACATTGGACTTAAGAGCTATTTTAAACTTATACATAACCAACACACTGGAGATGTAATCTAACTATGCTAATTGCTAGTGCTAACTATACATATGAATACCTAAACTATACACATAACCTAAGACAGACTATACAAGTACTTTTACTAGAGAATGAATCAAGTGCAGTTAACACTAAAGGCATTTTAGACTATAAACCAGTGTGTTAACGATTGCTATAATGAATGTAAATAATTTGCAGCCTGTTTTTGTCAGCCTGATCTCGCAAGAAAACAAACGTTTTGTCAGTTTAGTGGCTAATCCGTACGAATTCATATGAGTTCAGTCATATTGTCGTGGCACCAAACCCCCACCCCTAAACCCAGCCATCATTAAAGGATCAGCAAATTGTACTAAATTGTACGGATAAAATTGTACAAATTCATATGAATTAGCCACTAAGCCAAAAAGTTATGGATAGTCCTGAGATAGTTTTTTTTACAGCTAAAGCAATTGAAAATGAGTGATGACAAAAAAAAAACAATTGTAAAGCATGCTCTTAACATTACATTGAGAATTTAGATTCAATTCAAATGCTTTCTTGTTTTATAATAGTATCAGACTGACACAAATAAGAGTATAAACGGCTGTATTACAGTACACCTAGAATTATCAGCCCTCCTGAATTATTAGCCCCCTGTATATTTTTCCCCCAGTTTCTCTTTAACAGAAAGAAGGTTTATTTAATGCATTTCTAAACATAATAGTTTAAATAACTAATTTCTAACAGCAGATTTATTTTATCTTTGCCATGATGACAGTAAATTATTTTTTATTAGATCATTTTCAAGATATTTTTCTAGTATTCATCTTAAAGTGTAGTTTAAAGGCTTACCTTGGTTAATTATGGTAATTAGGCAAGTCATTCTATAACAGTGGTTTGTTCTGTAGACAATCTGAAAAAAAAATGCTTAAAGTGGCTAATAATATTGCGCTTAAAATGGCAGTTTAAAAAATTAAAAGCTGCTTTTATTCTAGTTGAAATAAAACAAATAAGACTTTTTCCAGAAGATAAAATATTATCCGGCATACTGTGAGCATTTCTTTGCTCTGTTAAATATCATTTGGGAAATGTTTGATAAAGAAATATATTTTAAAAATTTGACTTCAGCTGTATCTGTGTTGATGTGTAGTTGGTGAACGCGGTAAACACACTGGACCGGTACGTCCTCAATCAGCTGCACGTTCAGCTCATGGAGCTCAGAGGCTGTAAGGGACACAAGCAGTGTAACCCTCGCACCCGCAGCCTCGACATGGGTGAGTCACACACACACACATATACACATATACACACAAACTTACACTTTCTCTGAAAGGACCGAAGGCGAAGGGTGATATCACATCTTCATCATCATCATCCTCACCCGATCCCCGGCCCTGCCTTGCTTCCTGTCCTCCTTGTTTTTATATGCGAACAGAAAGTCGTCCCATCACCTCCTGAGCTGCTGTCCATAAGGGTCAACATGTGCCACGCTGCACCAGTGCGTCCCATCCGACACGCAGATCAATAAATGCACACGAATGTGGCTGAAATTAGTTTTCAGCAGACATGATAGCTTTCCAGTGATGATAACAGAAGAGATTGATTGGTTTACAAAATCGATTCACTCAAAATAAACTCAAAGAGAGGTCATGTGTACTTCAAAGTTCACATTTAAATGCAAAAGTAAATCTACAGAATCTAAAGTAACTTACTATAATGAATTGATGTGAATGAACCAATTAAATGACATATTCCTCCACAGAGCAACTGAGAAATCAACCATCAGATCATTTTAGACATTTTTGGGATGCAATACTTTTTAATCACTGTATTTGTCTTTATTTCAGGGAATGATAGTGTACATTTCTGGTGTACTGTATAATGTAGGACAGTTATGCAATATGTTACTGTATTTTAAAGTTGCATTGTGAAAATTGCTGTATTTTTTAGAGTAAAGCAATACACACAATTCTGTGAATACATATACAGCACATAAATGTAAATGCAGTATTTTTGCGGTAATAGATTTACAGTTAGTAAACACACACGATCTACATCAATGCTGTACAACTGAAATTAAAACACACATTGCCTAAAACACTGCTCTATGCGTTACCCAATCACAAAGCTTGCACTATGCATTATTGTGACGTGTAAGTTAAATTTTTTTGAGAGGTGCGTGGGTATGCACTCTGTACTCTTGCAAAAGTATAATATCATAATAATATAATAAGTATAAATCATAATATAATAAGTATAACTCAACCTTAACACGGTAGCTGAAAAAATTGACATGGAAAATTAGATTGATTATAGACTCTGAATGTTGATTTCAATTACTTTTCAATTAATCGCCCAGCCCTATTTCATATAATGAGTGTTTAGTTATGATACTCCCAAAATCTTTTCACATAAATCCGTCAATTTTTTTAACAAAATTCTGTGCAGAAATACAAAAAAAGTTCTGCAAAATTCTATCTGGGCCTAGTTTTGTATTTGTTTTGTTATGCTAAAATTTGTTAGCTAAAATTTGTTATTTAAAAAAAACTTCAGAAATATCATGTTTAAGTTGTTATCATTCACATCAATTGATTTAAAACCTGAAATTATAAATAATTTCTACAAATAAATACTACAAATATACAATATAATACAAATAAATTTACAATTGTCCTCATGTTTCTGTCAGTCCTGTCACATTTGCATTAAATTTAACAATAAATGCGTGCAATACACATTTAAGGCTATGACTGACATCATTTGACTGAGGAGAGGCTGACAGTGATCAAAGTTTTTTTATCATTGAATTGTATGACTTTATGCTTGTTTTTGTATGATGTTTGAGGAAGCTTAAATCAGGCTCTGTCACATTTTTCATAAGTGAAAATGTACATTTCGGGTAGAATGTCCCTTATATTACTGTTCAATACTGTGTAATTTACAAAAATTGTCAATAGTGTAGAGTATAATATTTATTTAAAATTTGTTGAATTAACTGCTAATAGCCAAACAAACACAGATTTCTCACATTGCGTGTAACAGAAATAATTCAAAATAATGGGCTACTTTGTTTATTAAACATCTAAAATGTCGGAAATATTTGCTTTGTTTAACTGCAGAGTTTGATTTTCAGCATCAAAAGTTGTTGAAGCACAGATCAAGTTCCCGTAATGCTATTTAAAAATCAAAAGGTTTAATAAAACGCGGAGTTAATGAGCACGGCCAGACAGAATTTGCGGACATTTTTTGCTTTTTCTGCACAGAATTTTGTTACCGTTATTGTTAGCTACAAAGATTGTTAAGACTTTCCTTTTAAAAATCTGTTGAATTATGATGAAATTGAACAAAACTGAATAAAACAAAACCACATTCTGAAAATGATTAAAATATTATAAGCTCTGGATTAAAAATATATACTCTGTATTTTTATTGCAATATAAATACACATTTACATTGAAGCGTTTAGCGGGATTTACAGTGAATTTTAAAAATCACAACAATCACTCATGGTTTTAATATTAATAAAGGTATTAAACGGTAATACTAACCATCAAAAACTTTACCGTGGTTTACCATAAAAATCAATAATTGTGACAACACTATTCAGTAATCAGAGTTAAAAGATGTAAAACAATTATCAATATCACTCTTATCACTCCTTCCTCAACACCTATTTTGACTCTGCGAGCTTCCACGTGACCCTTGGACAGAAGCCCAGGGTTGTTGTTTGTTTATTTTTTTCCAGTGATGCTCTCGTCTTAAACATTAATGGGGTTGTACATCTCATTGTCTCCACACTCTCTAACTAACAATATTGTCTCTTCTTCAGGGGGTAAAGAGAGAAGCAGCTATGATGAATACAGGTATCACTGCCAAACGAATTTAACCCCATTGTAGACTAGAAGGCCAACTGTCAGATTATTTTTTTAGATGAAGATACTAATCCACCTCTGCAGTTCTGTTTAGAGAGCTTGGAGCTTAACCGTGAATGTTAGCGAATGAAATATCACTCATTGATGCACATCACTCAAACAAACTCACATATACAGACACAGCTACTGTAAAGGCATCACAGGAATTCACTCTTCAATGTTAAATCAAGGAGAAGACCTCGCTGTCATGGTGGAAGAGTAGAAACTTACACCGATTTGATGTGTTAAATACAAGTTAAAGGGATAGTTCACACATAAATTAAAAATTACTATTTGATTACCCACCCCCAAGTGGTCTCAAACATTTGTTTGACATCTGTAATCACTGACTTCCATAGTGGAAAAAACAAATACTATGGAAGTCGATGGTTACAGGTTTTCAGCATTCTTCAACATATCTTCTTTTGTGTTCAACAGAGGAAAGAAACTCAAATAGGTTTGTGAATTATGAGTAAGCGATGACTCAATGTTCAATTTTGGGTGAACTATCCCTTTAGACTGTAATGTAGAAAACGACTGTGACCAATTCTTTAGTTTGTATTAAAAAAAGTGTAAAGAAGTTACAGTTGAATTCTGTGGAGCAAGATATATTAGCACTTTTGTTAATTATTCTGTGCAAAAATAAAGTGATTTGTGAAATTTTTTTATAACATAAAAACATAAACTTTATTTTGTCAGTCAAATATTGAACTCTGGGTATTCTATCTTTGCTCCCCAGAACTGCCATTGTAAAGGTTTTACTAAAAAGAAAGCTTAAATTTGGATTGATCTGGTGACAAAAAACTTAATAAATAAACTTTAGTTTTAAAAGTGCACTGAGGACTTTTATTACCTTATAGTATTGTCATTACATTTAACAATTATGTTAACGAGGCATGATTTTCTTTTTTCTTGTCAGGCTGAAACAAATTTTGGTTTTGTTTTGTTTATTGCTTAACTATTGAAATTAGAACCTTTACAAAAGGCAGACATCTAATATTACTGTAGAAATTGTCAATTTACATATGAATAATTTACATTAAAATCTAATATATATTGTTTTCTTGGTTGCTATCCGCTTGTTAAGTAGCGACGTATCGGTGACATATGGAATAATAATTCTGGATCCAACCCGCTACTCATTTGAATTGAGAAAATATTAGTTTATGGCCACTTTTTAGTTCTATTACACATTAAAGTGAATTTAATGGAAAATCATGGTGTACACAACAGTTTCTGGACTTGCTGCATCACAGACATCAATATTTTAACAATTTATAAAAAATGTATCACTTTCTGACCATCGCATAGTAAGCATGGATGTACATATATATATATATATATATATATATATATATATATATATATATATATATATATATATATATATATTGTAATATTGTGATCGTGATTTTCAAAACTATTACATTATTTTGTAAATGTTTATTATTACCATTTGATGTGTCTCCCCATACAGTTCAATTAAGCGATTGGACCCGGAAGCTACTTGGTGTGATGTCACACTTATCAAGTGGATAGTAGTCAATAATTGTATAATATTTTATTAGCTATATATACTTTTATTTATCAATATATATATAGTTTTTATTCTTTGACATATTCTATTTTTTATAAAACTAATGTAGCCTTGGTGAGCAGAGGACTCTTTTCTTAATATGCCCATATTAAGAAAATACTTCGAAAAAATATTTCGACAATCATGACTGACCATAACTGACCATCCTCACACATAGGTTTGTGAGTAAACATTTAAGCTCCAAGTAACTTCCTTGACAGATCAGATGTCTTCTCCTTCAGATTTCTGTCTCTCTTATTTTGTCTCCCTCTCTCTTGCCTTATACTGTGCCTTGCATGCATTCAGCCGTGGTTGTTGTTGTGTGTATGTGAAAACCTTAGAGTTCTCTGATTGGCTGTCTCTATCACATGCTTGAGTTTGGGGGTGGGGGTAACAGTTTGTCTTATCGTTGCTTGTCGCATTAGGCAGTTTCAGCGCCGGAAATGGCCTAAAGTGAGGAAGCCTGTCTCCAAATCGCTGTGAGTTTGGACAATAATTCTGCTTCTCGTCCATAGGATACAATGCCACCAAGCCACTTACCTTTTCTGAATCACCTCTCTCTCTCTTTGGTTTCCTTTCTCTTAAACTCATTTAGTTCTGCCTGGCCTGCATGACACAGCATTAGTTTGTAGACGCGTCTCTCTGCATGGAAGCTGCTCGGGGGAAATAAAGCAGCTTTGAGGGAAGATTCCCAACACGTGCCCCTCATCATCCTCACCTCACCTTGCTCGATCTTTGCCTGAAACATTTACGTTCCTTCATCCCTCATCCTTTTTTTAGGGTTTAAATTGTATGTTTATTTTTATTCTCTCTCCATGAAATCACAAGCATTCATCTTCATTTTGATGCATCTACTTTTGATCAGTGCCTTAAATCGTTTTGTCACTAGACGATAATGTCATTTATCGTAAAATTGTGGTCAATTTTGTTACATTTGTTCCTCCCCCAACAGAGGACAGATTTGGGAAGGATGGGAAGGCTAATGTTTGGAATGATGAGGACGTCCCGGAAGACACCAACCTGTTTCCCGGCGAGTCGAACTGGTCTGAACTTGAACCTTTGTACAGACTTGATGAACACGCCTACGATCTCAAACTCAACTTCACCCTCAGCCTCGAGGACTGGGCTCATTTCAGCCACTCCGTGGACCAAATGTTCACCCTCCTCAGCAACGACAACCAGCCGTACACTCCACCGCACTCTGAAGACAGACTAACAGGACGAGGCCACGCCCTTGTGTCCTCAAGCCAATCAGCTTCAGCTATCTACCTGACAACTCTGGCCACGCCTGCTCTTTTGCTGAGAGAAGCAGGTGCTGAGGTTTTGAGAGACGCTTTGGGGCTCAACCAACAGGAACAACATCCATCAAATTCCGTACAACCTATTGCGTCACAAGTGGACAAATCAAGCCTGGATGCTCCTCTTGGAGACCTAAAAGAGGACAGAGAGAAAGAAAGGAGGGACGAAGAAGAAGAGGAGGAGTTAAGGACAGGAAGGTTAAGCTCCACTCACTGTGACTGCAATGAGATTTTGCAGGAAACGGGTTGACTTTTGTGTTTTATTTCTCTTGCTCATATCGTTCCTCCTCAGAAAGACTTTTTCGATGGATGTTAAATACCAGCGTACAGTGCTTCAGGTTGATTGTCGTCTCCTGTATTTGTTCCTAGCCTCAGAAATTTCCTGCAACACTCGGTCTGTTTTCCCATTCTGTCCATGAGATCGACTAGGCTTTGAATGGAGCACATCTTCTACCTTTTAACTTAGAGTCTTCTCTCTGTTTTTATTCTTTGATCTTTTTGTTTTTTTAAAGGGATTTGGGGACTTAAATTCATAGCAGTAAAACTTCACAAAGAAGTGAGTCGTTGTGTCTGTTCATACTTGATCCAGTTTGAAACCGGTTTGGCAGCAGAATCTTTGCTTTTCTTTTGCTGGTTTTCTACAGGAAGCGTCTCGCTTCTCTCTTACACAGCCTTACAACTTCACAAACACCACCTCAAATACTGTAGGTCAATGACGAGTGTGTGTGTGAGTGTGAGTGTGAACTTGGTGTTGTCAAATATGAACATGAGTGTGTTAAAATTGAGCTTTTTGATTTGATTGGTTGCGCCCATTGTGTTACAGTTTGTTTACACTTAAATATTGGACCATTTTTTGGTCCGTTTGTATAGAATAATCTAAATTTCTTAAACAGTTTATAAGTTGAACCAACTAATCACTCAAAAATGGTTTGTTTGATGTATTTGTCATTAATTGTGTTTGACTAAAATGTGTTTCCCCTCGAGCACACCGGGAAAGAAATGTTGATGTATCGAACATGACTCATCATATTTGTAACCTTAACTTGATCTTATAAAATGTTTTCGCTTTTCACGACGCTACTAATACCAGAGCAAATATATGAAATGGATGTATGTATTTTAATGTGTGTTTTGCAAATGTAAATGGTTAAAGGATATTTTTATTACACGTTTGATGCTAAACCGACCGCCAGCCATAAAGATTTCACTCCAGCTTCGAGTTTTATTATTTATGCAGCATATTTTTTTAACAGTTCTTTAATACACATGTCCAGATTTATTTTATGGTGACGTATCTGAGATTGTTTAAATTATTAATCTGCCTTCCCCTTTTGTTTCATCCATTGCTGTTTTGAGATTATAATGATCATAATCTGATCCTCGATCTTACACTTCATCAGTTCACTGTAAAAAAAAAATAATAAAAAAAAGCAGGGTTTCACGGAATTCATTCATATTGTCCCAACACAAATCGATTAAATAACAATTAAGTGGATTAAGCATAAAACAGTTAGGTTGTCCCAACCAAAATCCTCAAGAATTGTTTCAGCTTATTTTAAATATGTAATTTGACTGTGTGTTTACATATTTCATCATATCCACCCCTCACCTCTGTGAGTGGCTGTACTAAAAGCAGTTTTGTCTAAGATTGTGGTTGTTTTGAAAACCATCAGAATTGCTTAAAAGTGTAAAAAATGGAGGATGTGAGATGTTTAGGAGACTCTTATGGAAGGATACATTTTCCTCTGGCACTTTCAAAAGGAAGGCTTTTTTCTTAAAATAGGATTTAAAAGAAATGAGAGATGGTTTAAACATAAAGTCTTGTACAGTTCTATAGATTTATCATACCTATATTTTTGTTTCGGTTTACCAGTGACCATTTGATAGTGCTCATTACTTTGTGAATAAAGTGTTGAATGCCCAAAATTATTTCTGTACTGGTCTTTTTTTTTTTTTCTTTGTAACCTATCAATTTCTGTTTTGATATCACTAAACAAACTGATTTTATTATATTTAAATGCATTTTTATATTATTATAGATCATCAGAATAACTGTATAATATTTATCAGTGTAAATCTATGAAATGTTTACATTGATGTGTCTGAAGCAGTCGAATATGGCATATGTAAACATACCACAGGCCCGTAGCCAGGGGGGTTCTGGTGGCTCAAAAGAACCACCCAATTTGTTCCAATCATGTGCTTATTTGTTCTATTTCAACTGCTATGCCATCATAAATTGTGAAAATAGCCCATCGAAAAAGTTGTTGTGTCTTTAGTTAATTTGTTTTGGCCAATGCAAACAATTATGTTCATGAGTCTTACATCCAGCTGTGCAAAACAACATACAATCTGACATATCATCTTTTGCTATATCGTAGAGCTTATTTTTGAAACAAAATCAACAATCCTAAAACTTTACATTATTAATAATATTATTATTATTATCTTTTAATTTTGTCTTATTTAAATGGCCAAATTCTGACTGAAGAAAGTTGTTTTAAGAAAAAGTCATTTGGTGGCAGGGCTTTTAGCTGCAGCACCACAGATATGGAATTCCCTGTAGTTAGATATTCTTCAGGTGTACTCTATTTATAGGCGCCTTTCAGAGCACTCAAGGACACCTTACAGTAGTCACAAGCACATTATAAAACAAGACAAAAAAGTAATAAACATAATATTAATCCAGAAAGTCATTAAAAGAAATCCTGAACAGAAAGCTTTTAACCTGGGATTTAAAATTGGAGATAAAGGTATTATTATTATTATTATTATTATTTTTATTATTTACAAAAGTTGTGTTAGCCAGTTTGTTTGCATAATAAATGACAATAGGTTACAAGTATTTATTCATATTGCTTTATTCTAAATTTTTAGGATTTTTTTTTTTTTTTTGTACATCAAAGTGTATGGTTATGATGACCACCCATCAAGCTAATTCAGCTAAAAAAAATAGTGCTTAAAATGTCATACTGAAAAATACCATACCGTATTGTATCACTCAGTGTAAACAGGGCATTATGCATTATATAAATGTATTGTATATATGCATTATATAAACACACATAATCATAAAATGCATTATTTAAAAAGAAAATGCAAAAAAATCCACTTTTTGAAAAAAAACGAACCACCCCTTATGGTCTACGGGCCTGCTAAACTGTAAAAAATGCTGGGTTCCACTAAAATAAAAATGATTGGATTAAAGATAATGAATGTATTGAACATAAAACAATTAAGTTGCCCCCAAAAATCTCAACTATAGTGTTGTTTCAGCTTGTTTATAACAAGTAGTTTCAACAAGCAGCAGAAGTATTTTATTGAGTGTCAATATAAAATTGGCAAATTATACAAATAAAAAAACAAACAAACAAACATGCTTGATTGTGTAATGCAGCATTTTTATAACATATTGTCAGCATTGTTAAGTTAACACAATCATCCTCCACAGTGGATTAGAACTCCATCTAATATTCACAGGACTTGCAGTATATAGAGTAAAAGGTTTGGTCTCCACACCTTCATATTGTCCCAAACCAAATGTATTAACTTATTTGTTTATGCAAATTTAAGTGGATTGAACATAAAGCAATTTTTTCCCCAAAAAACTCTAGAATTGTGTTAATTAGGCTCAATTTAAATAAGCCGTTTAAACAAACAGCAAATCCTCTTTTTTCAAGTGTGGCAGGCTGTTTTAGCATTTAATCCATAAACACATGTACTGTGTCTTTTTCCATGCTACTAATTTATTTGACTTATCTAGTATTTTTTCTTTTTTCAAAAAGTCCTAGTTATTTATTTGTTAATTTATTTAATATTTAAGTGCTTATATGTACCATTAATATGGTAAAACTTAGTACTTATTAGATAATGGCACTTTTTAGATACCTATTCTTTAGATATTAATACTTATTTCATTAGTGACTAGTAACTATTCTTATTAGTAACAAATCTTGGTTTTTAAGGACATCATTAACATAGCAGCTATTTTATTTTGAATAGTGCATATTCCACACAATAGCAATTATTCATTAGTTTCTAGTACTTATTATTATATATTCACAACAAATAAATAGATACTATTGTTTTTATTAGAATGTTTTACATTAGATACCTTTTTATTGTGCTTATTATAAAAATTATTTATTTTCAATAATTCATTTTCTTTTCGGCTTAGCACCTTTATTAATCAGAGGTAGCCACAGCAGAATGAACCGCCAACTTGATGCCCTTCCAGCTGCAACCCAATACTGGGAAACACCCATACGCTCTTGCATTCACGCACATACACTACGACCAACTTAGCTTATTCAATTCACCAATATGCATGTCTTTGGACTGTGGGGGAAACCGAAGCATCCAGAGGAAACCCACACCAACATGGGAAGAACATGCAAACTCTACACAGAAATATCAACTGACCCAGCCGGTTCTCGAACCAGCGATCTTCTTGCTATGAGGTGACAATGCTAACCACTGAGCCACTATATTGCTAATTAATTTATTTAATATAATTTATTAGTTATAACTTTTTTAATGCTTTTTAATTATAACTGTAACACTTCAAGTACACACTATGAATCATCAATTACGCATTAGCATATAATGAACTCATTATTTGTTAAGTATTAACTCTACATTAATTGACGTTAGTAAGCAGTTAATAACTGCAAATACAAATGCTCCATTCTTGACTTGTGAGGACATTTGCAATGTGTTTAATAATTGTACTTTCATACTTTGTTGCTGATTAATTTTGCACTACTAAATTAAGTATTGCATTATTTACAAATCACTTGTATTTAAGAGTAGTCAGTGCTTTTGAGATCATTCAGAATGGGTTAGTCAATAATTAATTAACTATTTATAATCAACATATTTTTTATTATTATACAGGCATACACTAATAGTTAATTGTTTCTGTTAATAAATGTTTTAGTAACTCAGCTTCATCCAGTTTGTGACCTAAAGTGAGGACTATGTATGTTTTATTAATCATCAATAAATGACAATTAAAGACGCAGTATCAAATGAACAATAAATCTTGATAATAAAAATAAAATTACTGTGAAGTTTAAACATTGTTGAATAACAGGAGTGTAAAAAATATACCATAAAATAAAACAACAACAATAATTTAACAATATAATATGATGTAACATTTCAGTTATTTAGTGAAGTTTATATTGCACAGTAAAGTTATTTAAGATAAGGTTGCAAAGATTTATTTTTATTTGATACAGTTTCATTTGTGTATCTTCAAATGAATAAATGAATGAAGTCTTTTAGTTTTTTTTCTGTTTAGAATATAACCTAGCCTTAATTTGCCATTTAAAAGAGTTTTATAAAGCTTAAATAGTCCTCACTTTAGCTTAGGTCACAAAACTGGATGAAGTTGTGTTAATAAAGCATTTATGTACGCCTGAATAATATATATATATATATATATATATATATAAATGTTAATTTAAATAGTTTATTAATCATTTACTAATTCATTCTGAATAATCTTTAAAAAAACAGCAACTTCTCTCAAATAACTGGTTTGTAAATGATAGTTTAATTTAGTCATGAAAAAATAATAACTTATGTAAAGTATGAAAACAATTATTAAGCACATTAGCTGTACTTGTAAGTCAAGAAAAGAGCATTTGTATCTGCAGTTATAAACTGCTTACTAACATCTAATAATGTAGAGTTAATGCTTAACAGATAGTGAACTCATTATTTGCTAATTCTTCGTAAATGATTAATAGTGTGCTGTTATTATAAAGTGTTACCGTATAACAAGTACTAAATTAGTACCATTCTCTGCTTAACAGGTACAAGTTTTAGTATATAATGAATAGGAACTTGTATTTAATGAATAAATTGTAGTATGCCATAAACTTTGAGTTACTTAAAAAAGTGCATGGTTAATCCACAAATTCAACATGATTTTGCTACAGTGACCATAGTTTGACCGTGATATTTGTTTTAAAATTATTTTTAAAACATTAATTATTGCACCAAGAGCCAGTTGATTATTTTCAGAGCTATGAAATAATATGTTTGATTATCTTTCACATTTGATTTGTTATCTTATTAGAAATGACTGCTCAGTTAAAAGGGTTAACAATACCCTAAAAATATATGCCAACTAATTTTTATAGCACCTTCCCAGTTATGGGTCCACAACAATACATTGGGTTATGAAATTAACTTTACATATAAAACCCAAAAAATGTTAAAAATAACCCAACAAAGCAACTTTCACTGTAAAAAAAAATTGCAGGGTTCCACAAAATTTATTCATGTTGTCCCAACACAAATCGAAAAAAGTTAACAAAAAAAAAAAAAAAAAATATATATATATATATATATATATATATATATATATATATATATATATATATATATATTGAGTGTTTAACCCAAGTGGTTGAGTAATTAATAAATTACACAATAATAGGTTAAGAATAACCCAATAGCACCAAATATTTTAAACTGAACCATTGGGTTAAATAAATAACTTTTTTTTATTTTAACAATTTTTAACAATACGTCTTATTCTCTCATGTCTTGTGAAAGGACTCTTGATTGTTTTATTGTGCCGTTAGTCTTCAGAGATATGCTATATAAACAAAGTGGATATCCATATTTGTTTTGAGATGAAAGACTAACTTTGACACTTCCAATAATTATGTATGCAAATTGAAGCACTGTAAGAAATGCTGGATTCCACACAATTCTTTCATGTTTTCCCAACACAAATGGATAGAGTTAACTTCATTGTTCTTACAAATTTAAGTTGATTGAACCTAAAACAATTAAGTTGTTCCAGAAACTTAAGAATTGTGTGATTTCAACTCATTTATATAAGTAGTTTAAACAAACAGCAAAAGTAATTTTTGAGTGAGGTGTATTCTTTTATATTAAGCAAGATATACATTTTTATTCCACTCTGTATGGCCTAGTCATTGTTAAATGTAAAGTAGCATTGGCTGTAGGCTTAAAATAACATAAATGAGTTCCAGGTCGACACGGTGGCTCAATGGTTAGCACCATTTCCATTTTCCCCCACAGTCCAAAGACATGCTCTTGTGAATTAAATAAACTAAATTGGCCGTAGTGTATGTGTGTGAATGTGTGTGAATGTGTGTGTATGGATGTTTCCCAGTACTTAGTTGCAGCTGGAAGGTCATCCCCTGAGTAAAACATGCTGAATAAGTTGGTGGTTCATTCCGCTGTGGCGACTTCTGACGAATAAAGGGACTAAGCCAAAGGAATGAGGAATGAGTTCTAGATGTGAATGTGTCATTGAATAAGTACTAGAAGAACATAGTGGAAAAATATTAGCAGGTAATAAAATTAGTTGTAGATTTATTCAAATAATAACATCACAGCTTGCCATACTTGCGGTAATGTAGCTATGTATGCTTACAGTACTCGTTGCAAACTGTCCAGCAGAGGACGCTTTTCCCCAAACTGCGCTCATTCATCCCGGCGAAAGTCCAGCAGGCTGCAGCAGAGCTCAGGTTACTGGAGGGCGGAGGAATAATAACCTACTCTCTACTGTCTGCCCCAAACTCTCCAGCGGGACAGAAAGCCTGAAGCCCACATTCACAGCCTGTTACTGCCAGAGGACACATCTCTCCGTTTTCACTCTCGTTACTACAAACAATGTGAGGAACATGGCTGACAGAAGGTAAGAGTTGTGGATAAACGTTCAATTCAGCTCTGAGTCGCGAGAGGAGCTTTAAACATCAAACTATGTTTGTTGGTTGTTACGAGGGTCCTGGTGTCACATTATTAGGATGTTTTGATGAAATGCAATGCAGGTGATACTGTTGTGTTTATGAAGTGCTGTGGACGGGTTGTGATGTTCGCACAAATGTTTGCACGGTCAAAGTTCACTGAAAGCTGGTTGTGAAGTTGCTGTCCGATTTTAAAGTGGTTTGTTTGATTTATTTGATTGATAAACTAACTTAAGATCTGGAAGTCTTTTGTTTAGTCATTAACAAGTAAATAATAACTTGACAAATGCACAACTGACATCCCTGGCATTTTAAAAAATCAAAAATTAAAATGTACTTATTTTAAACTATGATTTTTTTCTGTTAAATTTTCATTTTATTTTTTTATATTTTATTAAACTTGTCAATTGTCAACCCTGTTATGCCATTATCTTATTAAAATGATTTACATATTAAGTGTATAAAAATTAAACTTGATTGCGCAATGTTGTTTTAAAATGCTATAATCATCAACTCTATAATGACAGAATCTTATTAAATAAGTTAAACAAGTTACTATAACTCAATATTAAGTAAGTCTACATACAAAAATATAAGTAAAACATAATTCTTTTAGAGAATCTGCTTTCATTATTTTTGTTATTTTATATAGTCTGAAAAAAAACCTGAATTTGTGTAGAAATGTCAGCATAAAGCTGCATATTATCAACATAATCCACACTTTGTACTCTTGTGACATTGAGCAAGATGCTGTAATTGTGATAAATTAGCTTTATAACTGCTAAACCACCTTCCACCTTGTTTTGTAAACCATATTAAAATGTATATATCACATCCAAAAATAAAAAACAAATATTGAACAAAACCATATCGAAATCCAAACTGTAGTTCAGGTCAACATTTATGGCTGCAGGATAGCTAAAATGTATACACCTGTATACATATTATAATAATATGATAATAATAGATATATAATAGATAATAATAATACAATAATAGATATCTATATGATCAAAAATGCCTCTGTATTATGATTAATATATATATTAGATGATCAGATGTGTAGAGCATCGATAGATTGATTAGGGGGCAGATTGATGAACAGATGTGACGCGGCTGTTGTAGGCTGGTCCAGTGTCGTTTTCCAGGTGTCGGCTTTTATGGAGTTAATAGGATGGATTTTGACATGTTTTATTAATAATGTTGCAATGCCATATCCTCGGTAGACCTCCTCTGAAGCCAGGACAAACACTGACAGCTTTTCTGAACTATTGAAATATTCACAAAGCCATATGGATGGAGTTACTGTTAGACCCGAGACTGAACGTCTGATAATGCGACCCAATTTGCTCACACAATTTGTGGTCCATGGATTTATTATGTATTAATGAGCAAATGAAGATAAAGAATAGTTGTTAATGTTTTTGTAACTTTTTTTTGTGTAATTCTCTATGGAGCTGGCTTAAATGTGTTTGCATAAGACATGTTTTGTGGTTTAAAAAAAAAGTGATTAATCACTAATTCATTAGCAAGTTATTTAGTTAATCAATTATTCACCCAGTAATTGAAGTCTTTTTACTGATGTGAAATGGAAGTCGAAAGGGAAATTCTAAAACAACATACAGTACATTACCTAACTTCCCTTCTGTTTGTCAGTAAATTTCGCTCTCATTTTCTTCTTAACCTAAAGGTTTGTCTTTGTTTTGTAAAACACAAAAGAAAAGAATTTGAAGAATGTCCCAGCTGCTTTTTCCCAAGCATTTAAAACAACAAAATGAACTAAATAACTTCTCAATTCAACTTCATTCGTCACCTTAGAATGATACAATTCTTCTATTTATTCATATAGTCTGTGTACATTTTGGGAATTTATTTTCTTTTCCTGTTTTTTTTTTTTTTCTTAAGAAATCTTGCGATATAGAATGCAAAAAGCATAAAGCTTAAAACTATTCATAATATAAAAAAGTCTAATAATTCTAAGGTGATGATTAACTCAAAATCGTCTGACTATGTGTGCAGCAAATGAATTAAATTGTATCAATGATGTCATGTTTACATAGCTTTTATACAACCAGGAAAGCAGGTAGGGCTGCACAATATATCGTTTCAGCATCGATATCGCAATGTGCACATGCGCAATAGTCACATCGCAGGATCTGCAGTGTTGGGTCTGGATTATAGTTGAGCAGAATTTAAAAACACACCTGATTGTTGTGTAATTGCAAAGTTTAACCATAAAGTCACCAAACAAATTATCATTTGCATGTGTTTTAAGGCCTGTGACTGTATAAGCATGTCAAGCGAGTTTAGTAACAAGTTTAGTAACTTTAAGAAAGATTATTACAGTATATATATATATGCCACGGTTCTTAATATAATATTGAACCGTTCGGTACGACCTCTTCGGTTCAATACGCGCTTGTGAATTGCGGTTTTCTCGGTTTTGCGTTTAGATTATTTATGTGCGTTTTATATCTCCCCGAATTAACTGTGTGTGACTGTCCAAGAGGTGAGATGAGGAAACTCCTCCCCGCGAGTAAATATCCAATCACTATGATGTAAAGTTAGGGGGCACTTGACCATCATTCCACACTTTAACATTGCGAGCGGCGGTGAAGTGAGGCTGAGGCAACAGTACAATGAAGTGGCGGCGAAGTGAGGCAACAGTACGAGAAAGCGCTGGCGTCTTTCAAATCTGCGGTGTGAGGACATTTCAGTTTTGCCAGTAAGTCTAATGCCAATAAAAAAAATGGTGAACAAAAAATTACTGTGTGTGTGCAAGGATTGTTTTACACGCATAACCATCACCCAGCAATATCACTGTCTAAAGGCAGGATAGCAGAGAAGGTAATAAAGTCCTCCAAATAGCAACAATCCCTCCCTGAGTCTTTCAATTAAACATACCCAACTGGTTCCGAGAGACACATAAAATAACAAAGGCAGTGCGGGTGTTTATTGCTAAAGATTTGCAGCCGTTTTCGGTGATTGGAGATGCAGACTTTTGTCATCTTATAAAAGCACTCGATCCGCGTTACATACGACAGTCTCGCATTTTTTCAGCACCGAAATATTTAAGATGTTTCATTTATGTTTTCTTAAGTACAAATTTGTTTATTTGAAATTGCCAATTTCTCTTTATTAACTTCACATGTATGTTTATTTTCAAACAGTAGGATTTTATGTGTTCCCCAGTTTGTACATGGTCTACCAGCAGCTGTGAGATTTCAGTGTTAATTTTTTCTTATACAATACACTAGGAACTAGTGTACTTCTCTTGGCTTTTAAATAAAACAAAATGAGTATTGCAATAAATCGTTTTTTTTTTTTCTCTCCTTAACCCCTTACTGTTCCTATTGCCTATTGAAAAAAAAAAAAAAGAAAAGAAAAAAAAACATGTGTCAAGCCATGAGAACCAAACCGAAAACCGTGTTAAAAAACTGAGGTATGTGTTGAACCATGGGCTAACTGTATTGTTTCAGCCCTAATATACAGTATTAATATATATATATATATTATACTGTTATGTAATATAGTATATATGTGCACCAGTTTAAAGTTCCAAGCTTGTACACTATACGTACGCACGCTCACTGGATCAAAGGCTTATTTTAACTATGGCTAAGGAGGAATTTAATGCCATTCACATATCCCATCTTTTACGTGCACAAGTTTGTTATATCCAATGGAGGCACATGGTTTGAGCGCATAATAGTGCCTTTCAGACAGAGGTTCAGCAGTCTTTGACTACATTTGTTCTATTTAAAAGTGAAATACTTAGCTAATATGATGCTTAAATTTACATTAGACAAAAACGATTTATTTATTTATTTTTCATTATTCTTTTGTTTATTTTCAATGTTAAATTGTTATGTTTAAATGCCATATTGTTATGTTCAAATGCCAAATACATTTTTCATTTATTTTTAAGTCCAAAGAGAAATGGATTTTATTTATTTATTTTATTATTTTGTGCTGTTTTAAGTGGTTACTTAAGTGGTATTTAAGTGGTTTAAAGCGATAATTAAAACTTTAAAATATAAGAAGTGTTCACGTCATTTTGTAAATTAGTAGTATTTCGAAATGAAAGAACACATAATAATCGTGATAACCAGGATTACTCCTCAGACTTTAATCGTACAACCAAAATCTATTATCGTTGCATCACTGATCACCATTTACACAACAGCAGCTTGATGACGCAAGGGTTGAGAAGGAAAAAACACAGTGTAAACACAAACCGACCGAGAAGGGAGCAAGAGGAGATGATCGAACTTGGGTACGGGCTAGGCCAGAGCCATTTAATTGGCAATTGAATTTACATTAGACGTGATAACCATGAAACATGATTATTCTTCAGACTATAATTGTCAACCAGAATCTATAATTGTTGCATCCTTAATTTTTATGCAGTTCATAACATAACATAGGAATGTGTCTGAATGTAGAAAAAGCCATGATTTAGCAATGCACTGCTTTTGTTGTGCTCTGACATACAACATTTGAATGTTTGTAAAAAAAAAAAAAAAAAAAAAGTCAGTTGGACAATGCAGTGATATTATGTTGCTTTAAAATACAATATTTGAATGTAGAAAAAGCCAACGTGGGTGTCTTTATGAGCACAAATACAGCATATGGGCTCTTATATGCAGTTGTGTCATCACTCATATAGCAAGTTATATATCTCCGACCCTTCGTTTGGGATGCTTTTCATGAACCGGCCCCCATGACAGACTAATTGAATAGCCCTGGTCTAGGTAATTGAATCAAGTGTGAAAGCACCCTCAAGCTGCAGTCACAATAGAGTTTGAGCTTGCGAAATTCTGTAGTACGACGCTGAGAAAAAAGGCTGGATTAAACAAAATGATTAGACATTTAAAAAAGCGAGTGATTGGTCCATATTTTACATTTCTGTCCAGAGAGGTCATGTTTTAATCCTCGATTGGTCTCATGC